GTTGGAAAACATGACAAGAGAAGTAGAGCTATCGAGGGATATTGGGAGCCTAATCCACTTAAGGTTTATAAGTTTATTCGAGAGTAATATAAGACGGTTGCCATCGTCCATAGGTAATCTGTTATGTTTGCAAACTCTTGATTTACGCTTTTATGGTTCAGCAGTTATCCCAAATGTTATCTGGACGATGGACCAACTGAGACACTTATATTTACCCTTGAAATACAGTATAAGTGATGATGACAAACTAAGATTGGCTCCTCTTCGCAATTTGCAGACGTTAAAATATGTTTCAACTCGCGATTCTGATTTGAATGAACTTGCTGATTTGACAAGTCTTAGGATACTGTTTATAGATGTGTACGAATGTGATTTGAGAAATCTGGAGAAAATCTTCAAGTCTACAAGCCTCAAATTCAACCATCTTCAGTCCTTATCTGTGCGTAACTTGCGTGTGCAGGACTCGAGAGTTATATCAATGATAGTGTCACGTTGTCCTCAGATATGCAAGTTGCGTCTGCATGGGCTAACCACAGAGCTACCACATGACCTCCAGTGCTATCCAAACCTCATCAAGTTATCATTATTTGCGACTCATCTCAAGGAAGACCAGATTACAATTCTAGAGAGGCTGCAAAACTTAAGAGTTCTACGCCTTAGCCAGAGTACTTTTGAGATGAACACAAAGACATTGAAATGCTCTGCTGGAGGCTTTCCTCGTATTGAATTTCTTTCACTTCGCAGGATGCACGAAATAGAGGAGTGGATGGTGGATGAAGGAGCCATGCCTTGTCTTCGCCGATTGTATATTGAGCACTGTGGAGGCTTGAAGAAAGTTCCCGATGGGCTGAGGTACATTACAACCCTCAGGGAATTAGCCATCACTGGGATGTCAAAAGCATTCTACGGTGGACTTGAGAAAGGAGGAGCAGATTTCTACAAAATCCAACATGTGCCTTCCCTTGATTTTGGACCAGCCAGTGAGGAGTTTCTCTCATCACTTGGTATGTATCATAACCAAGCCAACTTCTTCAATTAATTCATTTTTGTTATCTATGTTTCAACATTACAGTACAGTAGTTGATTTCTTTTGTCGTACAAATATATAGATCACTAATCTCAATATACAGATATAAAATTCCGGTACAGGGAAGCATGAATTTCAATCGTCGACACACGCCATGATGATAAGGTAATTAGAAGCCCAAGCAAATCTTTCATGTTCCACTCACGTCAAGGTTGTTTGCTGATTCTATTGCGAATGGAAGAGCACAGTTGATGCACTAGTACTTGTGTGATATATGCTTTTTTCCCAAAACATTTAGTTGGCCAAACCAATATATCCACTTTGATTAATTTTTTCCATGGTATGTGCTTTAGCTCATTGAGTTTACTGGATCGTTTTGTTACTGTCTTGCAGAAAAAATTGAACGAGAAAAAGCTCTCTGACCAAACCGCTATAGTGCTGAAAGCCTGAAGCTCTTCAGAACCTGCATTGCTTGCTGCTCAAATCTGGTTAAAATTGTTGAAGGCTTGAAGCATGTTTTATATTTTACTTATAGAGTAAAAGTGCTTCAGTTAAAGACATCATCTTCACGTTGAGTTATTTCTTCTGTATTGATTGACTGTTATTTATAGCTTCTCAATTGTATAGCAAAAAACATTTATGTTTTTAGACCGTTTTGAACAAAAACATTCATGAAATGGACTGTTATTATACTCGACATGCGGTGACTCTCTCAAAGTGGGACTCCCTAAGGACTTTCTGTTACCTCATGTTTTATACACAATGTTTTATAATGTTGGCACAAAAATTGTGCCAAAAACATGAAGTGGTGGAGAGTCTATGGATATATAGTCCCACTCTTGAAACTTTTTTTAATTCCTACAGTTTGTCAAGTATTTGATTCTTGGAATGGAGTGTTTCTCAGTAACCAGGAGACTAGCTACACTAAATTTAACTTCGTTAAGCAGCATATGTACGTTCCTGTTTAACTTCGCATATCATAGTCACCAAATTTTCTCACCATGACTGATGCTTTAGTACATGAAGTATGGCCCTTATCTAGTATAAATATTATCTGATGAAAAACTTTTCCAAATTTAAATGAACATATATTGTGAAGTGATATGGGGGAACAAAATTTGATTGGTAAGTTTGACGAGTGTAGTAATGTTGTGTGAATAAATTTAAAAGTAACGGATAAGTTTACACATTTGTTGTACGTATGTTGTAAACTTGTAAACGATCGATGTTATTGTGACGCACTACGAAGCTAATAAAGGGTTACCATCGGAAGTCTTTGAATAACTAGTTCTTGATATCCCAAAAGTTGTATTTGATTAAGGGTAATGTTAGACAGACCAAATTTTTAAATAAAATTTTGTAAGTCAAATGATGTGGTTGTTGATGATTGAATTATTACTTAAGTGTTGATTAACGTGCTCATTTCTTATTGGTGACACATCATATGATTTGCAAATTTGGTTTAAAAATTAGTTTGCCTAGCATTATCCTTTGATTAATTCTTGAGTGATGATTACAATGAAACAACCAATGATTTAAATAAACAGATTACAATTCCATGGAACAACTCAAAGGACTATGGTAATTAAAACGACATTAATGAAAATTAATCCAACGAAATTTGAAAGATTTAATTATTACTATATAAATTAAACTGCATTTTGGAGGCTAAAATGACCTCATATGGCTAAAAATCATCTTATGTCACAACAAAGTAGTAAGTTTGAATCGTGGCGTTATTCCCTATTCGAAAAGGTATCAACAGCCTAAATCTAAGCTCGGACGTGAAATATGTAAATTCTCACTGCGTCTTTTTATCTTTCTACAGTCCATTTTCTCTTCAATCTATTCGACCATTTGTTACAATTTGTTTACATCATATTGGTGAACAATACTACATCAGTTCTAAGTATCAAATTGATGCAAAGAGCACAATTTTAATGATGATAGAGCAAATAGTTTATTAGGTATTGGTATGATGCCTAATCCTGCACAATACTAATCAAATAGTTAAGGCGTTGCATTCGCCGTTCTATCATCTATTTGTTTATTCTTAATCAGTGCTTTGGCTTGCCGGTTGCCACATATGTATACATATTCTTTTTTCCAACATTATTGTTGATTGCATCATACAACTACTATATATTAACATATGGTATTAATATGGCACTATTGCGTTTAACAAGATAAGGCACATTGCTTAAACAAATATAACCTCTAATATTCGATTTGACTTGACAATTGACACAGGTTAAGTAGATGCAAGGTTTTTCTATAATATACACCAACAATGGCGGATTCAAAATTCAAACATTTAGGGTCTTAGTGTTAAAAGTCTAGATTTCCCAAACTCCGGGAGGTCATGGAAGCACTTTGGTCCCATTGTACATCCGCTTCAATGCACTAGCATATGGGATGCACAAGTGCTTGAGCTGTTTGATTATAATTGTCAAAATTCAATTATGTAAATTTAACCGTCCAATGCACTAATGCATCCCATACACTGATGCATTGTAAAATTTTGCATTTTTAGAGGCAGTAGATGAAATCTTATTCTATTTTTTTAGGGTAGCTAGATGCAACATTATTATTAGCTTTCAGGTAAGCATATTTCTGTCTCTTAATTTCTTAAACCAATCTAATCCTAAACGCATAACCCGTGAGTCACGTAGTAATCTTGTTGCAGGAGTTAGATATGTTGAGATCCGACACCTACGATGCAACATTTTATTTTCTAATGGTTCAATAGTAGGTTGATTAGTCATATGATAACGCCACGGCACCAGGTATTCTCTCGTTCCCCTAGTAAACACAAATTAAATAATCATCCCTATGAGAAAGTTTTACTTGGTCCAAAGCATGTGTTTCCATGGACACACACATATTGTCTAAAACGATAATGTTAGAGAGATCATATTTAGCTAATGGGGTTAATATCGGCTCGGAAGTTGATTGGTGATGGCTTTATTTTCATTCCCAAAACTCCACATATCTTCTGCCTCTGATCACATCTCTCCACACATTAGCAAATACATGGGAGTGGTGCAAATAAAGGGAGAAAAAAAAAAAAAAACTACTGTCACCTCGAATAGGTACGTAATCATCCAAATTACTCCCCAAAGTAGTTAGAAAAAACGTTAACTAGTCGTCCAAATAATAGGATGTCCAGTAAAACCAAACGGTCACAAGTGGTAAATGCCCTGGTAATTAGGAGAAATTTTTAATGTAGAGGAAATACAATTTGATATATTAAGTGTCATACTACAAGTGGTTGGATATTTGAAATCCAATCACTTGTATTCTAACACTTGGTGTACCAGGCCGTGTTTCCAACACACCAAAAATCTCTCGGTAATTAGGGTTTTCTTCACGGTTTTCTAGATTCAAACGTTTCACTCTCCTTATAATGTAAATTATTATAGAATATCGATTTTAATCAAGTAAAACTAACCCTCCCTCTGTCTCTTTCTCTAGTGTCACCAACGCGTGGTGCACCGGCCATTTGCATTGGTGGATGCATTGGTCATCCGGCAAACGTTGTCATCCAATATATCTACATATATATAAACAAGGCAGAAAGCCGGGCCATATTTACGTACTGTAATTTCTGTGCAGTACGTAAATGTGTGGACATCTGGACACTTCCATCGATCGTTCCCCACTCACCATCACCCATGCCCCTTTCAATTTTATACATCAAACAGTGGAATATGATCCCTACTCTTTAACTACTCTACTAACAAAAACGCGTTATCTTCTGCGCTTTTGGCTTCTCCTATCTTTGTTTGTTCCTTTACTTTTTTCCTTTCGTTTTTTTTCTCTTTCCACCCCATAATTCCGATGGTATAAATACTACCCCACCTCCACAACCCCACTGTACCGAGAAACCCACCCACCCATCCTCATTTCTCTCTTCTTTGTGTGTGCTTTTGTAAATCAATCACTAAGTAGCCTAGCTTGCTAGCTTGTAATAATGCATCTCTCTCCCAAAACCATGTTCTTAAATCTTCTCATCTTCTTCTTTCTCGTCTTTCCTTCTCTTTCGGTTTCGATTCCGAAAGATCAGTACAAGCTCCAAAACAAGTTGAAGAACGACACTAGTGCTTTTTCTCTCTCTTTCCCTCTCACTACTTCTCCACTTTCTCTCTCTGCAAATCCAAACACGTCCAAAACTTTCCATGCCTCTGTCGTTTCAAACTCCAAGCAAAACCCTAGATCAAGACCTACTACTACTGCTGCTACTGCTGGTGGGTGCTACAAAAAAAACACCGTCGTACAACTACAAGCTTTCGTTCAAGTATTCGATGGCTCTCATCGTTTCTCTCCCCATCGGAACTCCTCCGCAGACCCAACAGATGGTTTTGGACACCGGAAGCCAACTCTCGTGGATACAGTGCCACAACACGACCCCCAAACCACGCCCTCGACCTCCTCCCACGGCATCGTTTGACCCTTCTCTCTCTTCCACCTTCTCTGTTTTGCCTTGCACTCACCCTATTTGCAAACCCCGGGTTCCCGATTTCACCCTCCCAACCTCATGTGACCAAAACAGCCTCTGCCACTACTCCTACTTCTATGCCGACGGAACTCTCGCTGAGGGCAATCTCGTCCGAGAAAAATTTACCCTTTCTCGTTCCGTAAGTACCCTTCCCTTGACTCTTGGTTGTGCCAAGGACACGAGTGACAGCAAGGGTATTTTGGGTATGAACCTTGGAAGGTTATCATTTGCTTCCCAAGCTAAAATTACCAAGTTCTCCTATTGCGTACCCAACCGACAGGCTCAAACCGGGTCCAATATGCCGACCGGGAGTTTCTACTTGGGGCATAACCCGAACTCTGCGGGATTCCAATATGTTGACCTTTTGACCTTTCGTCAAAGTCAGCGCATGCCGAATTTGGACCCCCTTGCCTATACAGTTGTAATGGTGGGGATAAGAGTTGGAGGGAAAATGTTGAAAATTCAACCCTCTGTGTTCCGACCCGATGCGAGCGGGGCGGGTCAGACCATGATTGATTCAGGGTCCGAGTTCACTTATTTAGTGGACGAGGCGTATAGTAAGGTGAGGGAAGAGATTGTGAGATTGGCGGGACCAAAGTTAAAAAAGGGCTACATGTACGCAGGTGTGTCCAACATGTGTTTCGATGGCGATGGTGTGGAGATCGGACGGTTGATAGGGGACATGGCGTTTGTGTTTGGTAAAGGTGTGGAGATTGTGACGCCGAAAGAACAAATTCTTGCTGATGTAGGGGGCGGAGTCCGGTGCGTGGCAATCGGACAGTCCAACATGCTTGGTGCCGCGAGCAATATAATCGGAAATTTTCATCAGAGGAATCAATGGGTTGAGTTTGATTTGGCAAATCGTAGAGTTGGGTTCGGTAGGGCCGATTGTAGTAGATCATGAGTATGGATATATAGTGACGATATTTATGATATGGTGGCTGCTGCACAAGTTACTGCACGGGTGTTTCAACACGTTAGAGGACAAAAAGGTCATTTACATGATGATGACCTACTACCAGAATCTAAACGAGTGAAGAGATGAACTAGTTGCAACTTGCCATGCAGTAGTCAGTGGTATCAATGTCTGGAGGGTTCGCAGTCTCTTGTATGTATATTATTGCATGCACTATATATAAATATAGGATACTGTTAGAGAAACTATCAATTTATATTTATATTTTGTAAATTATATGATGTAGTTGTTGATGATTGAATTATTATTAAGTGTTTATTAACATGCTTGTTTCTTATTAGTTACACATCATATGATTTACAAATGTGGTCGACCAAATTGATTTACCTAAAATTACTCAAATATATACATGGTGAGACCAATGTATATACGGGATGTGAAAAAATAATCCAGGCGCATCGCATTTCGGCTCTAGTCAAGGTTGCCACTCGGCCCTAAGACGGATCAAAGAAGAGTGGGTAACCTCTCTCACTTTGGTAAAATGATCATCATCTCGCTTTGTTTTCCGGTTGGGATTTTACTCCGCTTTTGTTCGTCACCTAAGCTAACAAGTGTTGATGATAACTTTGCTCGGCTCACAGTCTCTCTCTAATAATATTCTGTCCAAATTTAATGAAACAGTACTATAATATTGAAAGGAAAGCATGGAAATGTGTCCCCCATCCCCATCGACAATAATGGAGTTGTCATAAGTTATGAAGATTAATTAAATGAATTCAAACTTTGAAGAATCTGGTTTGGTTTTTTCCTTCTAAAATTAATCAATTACATTGAACATCGACATTCACCCTTTTAATCTAATAATTAATCCAACAAAGGAAGGGTCGAACCCTGGGTGTCTAAACTCTGCCATCTCACTCACTACATGGTAATAGCCTTCTTTTTCATCATTTCGGGTGAGAGAAATTCGAACTTAAAATCTTTTTAAATATATAAAAGAGAAATTTAAATTCAAAATCTTTCTAAATATGTAAAAGAGAAATATATACCACCGAACCACTATGCTTCATTTCATTTTTTATGTTTGGTTGATATTTTTTGTAATACAAACGATATTACTACTTTAATTTATACTAAAGGAGGAGGTTAAACTCAAGATTACACAGTGAGTTAAAAAGAATTGACCTGGCCAATCCACCTCTTGTTTGTATTTGATCATTAAAAAGAAGGAAACAGAAGAAGATGCTCCATTCCATTCATGCCACTCAAACATCATCAATGTTTGAAATTTTTTATTACGGTCGATATTTTAAACACTATACATCATGAACCTTAATTAGAAAAATGGTGAATGGCATTGCATTACCACATAGGTCTAAAAGAAAGAAGAAAAAAAACAAATCTATCTACGTGTAAAGCTTTTTGTGTATATCGATTCTTTGTTGACAAGATATCAGGTGTTACCAGTGTGAGCCTGTGAACATCTTTTCTTTATATCTTTCGGTTTGTGTTTGTGTAAACATCCAAAAAACAAACACAAGCCATGGGATTAAACCCGGCAAAGCACCGTGCCTAAGATTTAAGGAGGAAAATGTGGGCTCTACCGAAGTTGGAAGCGTGCAGTGAAAGTGGAGACACCTACTTGGGACTCTTCTGCCGACTCAATACTCCTCCTTCCACTAATATTCCCGACAACCATTGACATTTCCTTTTCTTTTCTTTTGTTTGTTTGTTTAAAAGCTAAAGGAGGAGGAGGGAGGCTACCTCATCTTAGGTCAAGGCCAACAGGATGCTCTCTCGATCTTCTTTGTGAGGATCTCAAAAATTCATTAATTATATTTGCTTATCGTAAATTATGCGATCAGTTTTCATCAGCTACTGTTTGTATTTAATTTTAAATTAAAAATAATTTATGACCACACGATGTACGATAAATGGACAAGATCATAGATCCTCATAATCCTCACAAAGAGGATCAGAAAAGAATTTGGACTCAGGTTAGGTCATATCACAAGTTTTCATGAGAATGTATAGAGATGGTCTTAGCATTGTATGGGTTTTTTATTGATCGTTCACCAAATGAAATTTTCGACAACGAAATTCGAATCTAGACTTTGATCTAACAAATAGGATCCTTGCTAACTTAACCAACGACTTTTTTTTTTCTGTTCTTTTGGCTCTTTGATTACAGTGTAATGTTATTTTTAAACATAATTGATTTAAGATTTTATTGAAAAAAATATCTTATAAGGTCTTTCTTCTTCTTACCCTTTTTACCTTGTCACGTGGAACTTGTAAAAATGTTCCATCATTTCAAAATCACGATTTGTGCATGTATTGACAAAAAATTGATGATATATGTACACGTGGCGAAAGGTCAGCCAAAACTATCCCTTTACGTATGGATATCAAATCACAGACAAAGTAGCATGCATAGCCATGAATGAATGAGATCAATTTAATTAGGTAATACTAAAAAGGAAATGTTATTGGCATTTCAAAAATCTCATTATACACTTCTTACAAGTGTATATTTTCTTTCCAAATATAGAAATTTTGGAGTGTAGAATGAGATTTTTGGAGTGCCACTATATTTTCTTTTCAAATATAGAAAGTTTGAAGCGTAGAATAAGATTTTTGAAGTGCTAATAACACTTCCTTATTAAAAAGACCAACTATTAGAAATTAAATTTTATAAATTATACGAGGTAGTTTTTAATGATTAAATTATTATTTAAATATGATTAAAGTGATTATTTTTTATTGGTGACACATCATATGTTTACAAATTTTGTCTAAAAAATTAGTCTACGTACTCATTTAATTACCTTTCAAAAGTTTTGACCACTTGTCATCCTATGCTTAATCTGATCTAAAAAATGCATACATCATCTCGAATATAATGAAGCATTGGATTAAGAAACGTGACGTTTCACCAAAAAGCAGACCTAATTAAACCCTAGCTAAATCTAGAGAAAATGACCATGAGAGGCATGACCTATGCCCTCTCGTGAATTTGGAAACCAAGTTCATGATAAGATCGACATAAAGCAATCCAATCTTTTTGTCCCAATCATAGTTAAAAAAATATGTAACGGATATAATACGTAAAAATTACGTATGTATCTTATTTGACAATTTTGTCAAAAAGAAAAAAAAATAAAGGAAAAATTTGGCCATTTTTTTAAATTTTATTTATTTATTCTTATTTCTTCTTTAATGTATTTGCTTTATTAAAAAAGTGTATCAAAGTAACGTGCATTAACTCTAAAAAATATGTATGTACGTGTATCGTACTTTAGAGTTATAAAAATGTCCAATTTAACAAATCAATCAAACGTGTACAAATCTATCTTTTGCTTTTTCATCCTTTTACTTTGGTTTTTAGTAGTAATTTCGCACCCTCACAACAAAATCAAACACAACAATAAAAACAATCATAACTATGTATCGAACTCATCAAAAATTAATTAATATAGCATCTTATTCACTATTTTCTCGTCAAATTAATTTAGACCCCATCAGTCAAACATGATAGCTCATCCAACCAAGTGTAGACAGCAACCCCTAGAGCATTGGCTTTTTTTTTTTTTCCTTCTTTTTTTTTTTCCTTTCTTTTTCTTTTTTTTTTTTGCCTATTTTATTCTTTATTCTTTTCCATTTTTTTTTATTCATAATTAAGATGTATTTTATTCTTTATTCTTTTCAATTTTTTATTCATAATTAAGATGAAATTCAGTTTTAAGATTTATAAAAATGGTTAGGAGGGTACGTATGGTGAGAAAATTTTGAGGTATGAACAGATTATCCCTAATATTTTGCGTATGGATGTGTGCAATGAATAACTTAAGACATTTTAGCTAAAATAGTTCGTGAAATTAGCATAACACCTCACTATGGTCATTAAGATTTGAAATCGATAGAAGTGGTATCTGAATTTGTCCACAGTCAATTATTTTTGTCATTTTGTGGAACAAAAGTACCTCAATATAATAAACAATGGACCAAAATGATTTAACAAAAATTGAGGGTATTTTTGTTATTTTGATCCTTATTTAACGGATATTTTCCACAGCAATACCAAAATGAGTTCCATCAATTTTAAATCTCAGGGACCAAAGTGAAGGGTTGTGCTAATTTCGAAGATCATTTTGGCTAAAAGCCTAAACTTGATCACTCGTTCAATGAATACTGATCCTACATATATAATATTGTTATTTTGTGAACTTTTGATCCATACCTCTCCTTTAAAGACAAACAGAATAGAAAAAGAAGAAAAAAGGTTTATAGGAAAGTTGCAAAGGTGGCTCAAAGTGGGGGAATGTAACGCACAGTTTTTTCAAATATTTGATAGGAAACATCCAAAGCGAGTTTCAATAATTTCAACCTCATGTTCAACATTGGATGACCGGAGTGGGCTTCCGAGGAAAAAGGTGTACCATCTCGATCACCAAAAGATTCAAAGTTTATATTGAATGGCATTGCAAACAAGCAAAGCTAGTTTGATCATTTAGGAGAAGACAACAAATAGCTGGCAGAAAGAGTTAAAGGCAACTTGTATAGTTGTATACATGCTAGCTATTTTAGGATGGATTGCTTTCACTTTCAGCCGATCCTCGAGGACCTAACCCTAAGCTGGATATGACGATGGCCAACCTCGCTTTCTGCATGATGTAACGTAAGAGGAACCCTAGTTTTTTCCATGGCTAGTGAGATTTACAACCCTTTTTTAGCCTCTCGCTTACTCAGTTGAGCGCAGAAAAATATATAAGCTCTTGATTTAATTAGACTACAGATGATTAAAAATGGAGTGTGAAGAGCGCTATCCTTTTTCATTTCTCCCTTTCTTTTCTCCTGCCATTTTACAGAAGTACTCAAATCGAAAGTACTAATTAAGTCATTTGATTTGTAACGTGATGTTTCTGTTTGTCTTTGTGCGTGAAAACGCCACATCCTTATTCTAAAAGGCTTAACCTAGTGGATAGGTATTGAGTTTTTAATCATGCATCACGAGTTCGTAACATTCTTTTTTTTTCTAAATTATTTAATAGTTTCGAACTCCTCCTCTAACAATAGTAAAATTAAAAAAACAAAATGGCTTAACCTGATCTTTCCAAAGAAGATATATATAGTTAGTTTCAGAAAGCTTAACAGAAGCTAGAGTAGAGATATAGGGGGATTGAAAAGGTACGAGATGAAGTTGTGGAAGCCATGGGAAAAAAATATATATATATCAGAGGCTCAATACAATGTAAAGTTGGGTGCGTTTTTGCTTAGCACTATAGGTGTATGCCCACCATACACTTAAATGTTAATTTTTTCAGTCTAAAAAAAATTAACCAAGATTAAGTAAAATGACACGAACAAATGATTAGGTGTATGGTGAGTATATACCACATTTTATCATGGTGAGCAAAGATGCTCCCTGTAAATTATTTTATTCTCATTAATTGTATAATTACAACGTTTATATACAACTAGGGATCAAGAGTCCTAATCATAAATATAAAGATTACATCCAAAATTCAAACTCACAATTCAAATTACAATAAATAATAAAGAGAATAATGGCTGACTAACAACCTTACCAACACTGTAGACTACACAGTATGGTGGCCGCCTACTAACAAAGATGTTTTGTCATGGTTTTATATTTAATGGTCCCCTCTCGGGCTCTTCCTATTCATTTTCCCACGCGTTTGTTTCAATTTCAAAGTTTTAAATTATAAACGAAAGCAAATAATGACAGCTTGCTCTTAGCTCTTCGGTGGACTTCTTGGTATATATCATATAGGAATGACATCCACTCCAGATTTTTGTGTTTGGAGTCCATGAATTGAGAGATTTGGATTTTTCACAAAAGGGAGAAAGAGATCCGGTTTGTTCAAGTTTTTAGCTTTTTATAAAATGAGTAGGATGAGCTAATACAAGTTGTATGATTGAAACTAAATGATCCGAACCTCTCGATTGGACGGCTTCAAACACATAGATCCACATTAGGTCGTAATCCTATCATATATGGTTTTGGTAAATGAAAGTGGAAGTCGGTGAGAAATAAAAAACAGTCCACTGTACGCAAACCTTAATATTAAATCGAGTTGGGCCACGATTATTTGTATAATTAATTAGTTTTGATTCTCTTTTCTTTGGGCTAACTTATCTTTTGTGTGTGTTTATACTGCTGTGGTTGGTTAAAGGAAAGTAGAAGTCAACATGTAACCAAGTCTTCCCCTCCTTTACCTTATATACAAGGTTACATATCACTAGTACTCAAACAAAACCTCAATTAAAACTCATTTACCTTTATAATATATTACTATTGATGAACTTTTGCAGGTTTCCCTCTCATTGTACATGGTTTTTCCGTTTTGGAGGGAACCCAAGTTGACAATAAAGATGACGAGACATAAAGGTGAGGTGATTAAGATAATCTCTATGCTCATAGCACATTGTTCCAAGGTTTGCCTTTTTCTTGTCATTTTTCCCTTTCTTGTTTCTGTGTTAGCACAATAAGTTCTTTCATTACCAAACACAAGAAATTCTTCTGATGACCGAAATTCTATCCCTTCCGGCAATTAAAGGTTCGGCAGGCACATTTTTGCTCGGTTTTTGAGGGTACTAAGGTATGGTGTTTATTTCCAAGTTTCTATATCAATGATTTATGGATATGGTGGGTATGTTTCAATTTTTGTTTGAAGTGTCATATTCAGAGATTCGACCAATTTTTTTCCGTGGTTTGCACATGGTGTGCATAAAATGTGCATATGGTATGCATGTTTGTACTTTAATATCTCGTAACTAGGCCGAGCAACTCTACCACGAAAGTACAACCCAACCCAACTCACAATTGGACCCAAATAGCTTTAAAGGCCCATCAACAACCAAGCTGCCTTCTTTTTCTCTGTAGTTTCTGCGGAGGAGGACCTGAGACATGCAGCAGCAGCAGCACCAACAACGTCTATCCCTATCTCTGCTTCTCAAATTTTGGGTTTTTCCAATCTTCTTCCAGATTCAAAACCCATTTCCTCAATTTCACCAAATTTTGTGTCGATATCGAAAAGTTTTAGTTTCCAACGGTTGCTGTGGGTTTTGATTCAATTGGGTGTCAAAGATGCATCCTCCATTAACGTTACAAAGCACCCATGTGTGCTCAAGTGAGTTCTCCTTCCCCTTTGCTTGCTACTTCTTTTTTTTCTTTTTCTTTTTTTTTTTTTTGGTTATTTTTTATATATATGATAAAAAATTGCACATCAAATGGTAACTGATATTTATTAAATTAACGAAAAAATAAATAACTAAAAATAAACGAACAGAAAAATGAGAGAAAAGGAAACAATTGCACCTGATCTGGGGCCGGACTTGGAATGTGGAGGACATGGGAATCAACAGAGCAGGGACAGCGCGTGATGCCTGTGGTTGGTGACTATAAATACCTTCGTTCAGCCTTAGCACGTCATTTCAGAAACCCTAGCTCCGGAGGCACAAACCCTCTCAGCCTTCATTTCCTCATTTCTGGCTTCGAAAACAACTCTCCAAATCCAGAACCTTCATTTTCTGCCTCGAGTTCTCTGTAAATCCTCGCCAAACTTCATCAAACGTCCTGCATGCACAGAGCATCCAAAATCCTTCGATCTTCTCTCATCTCTTGAATCACAGATTCCATCAGCTTATCCACCTCCGAGTTCTGCATGACACATCTCCGTGCATCTCCTCCGCAGATCTCCTTTACCGTTGCGATGCTAGGTAAAACGCATCCATCCTCCTCTCAATTTCTTCTCAATGTCTGCCTTTGACTTAGAGTCAGAGTGAAACCGAGTCTTTTGCATATTTGTGTTCCGTGGTAAGAACCTCGATCCGGCGAACTAAAGTATGGTGGAACTCTCGAAGATATCATATCGGAGAAGGGAAAGGGTAAGTTTCGCATCCCTTTAGTGTTTTGATCCTGAAATTACTTGATCTGTGAATCCTGTATCTCCGTGCATGTTTCTATGGATCTGTGAATAATTTCTGGATATTGCAACCATGTATTCATGCATCCATTGGTTGAGTTTGCTTCCTGTATGTTGTCTTGCATGTATCATAGATGAATGTGATCCCCTCTGTCTGCTTGGACTTCCCTCAAACCTGTATGCGATTTAATATCTTAATAAAATGTGAGAGTGAGTGAAAGGGGTTTCCAAGCAGTGCTGAGGACGTCTCAGCAACCCCACTATGAGTATCCCTGAACGTATGCCCTTTCGTTTCTGCACTCCATTATTTCCTCTGCACTTTCTGTTGATGTTGAATGCAATGCTGTGATGTATGCTGATAAATAAGGTGAATGAACGAATGCTCCTGAATGTATGATTCAGTCGAATGTACGCACTTGCTGGATATTTAGAGTTCCTGAAAAAAAAAATTTACACGATGTTAATATGGATTAGACAAAGTATAGTAAAATAAGTTGAAAAAAAATTGCAATTTTTTTTTCTAATTATTTTCTTGTGTGTTCTTAAGTTTTTTGGTCTTTTTTAATTGAAAAGAAAAACAAATCGCAAAAGCCTATGCCAATTTCTCTTTCGATGTCGCGTATATAACCCTAATGCTCGGTTGAAGCTTAACTACAACCTTTTATTCTTAAACCTACCTAAATAAGATCTTTTAAAAACTAGGAAACTAAATAACAAAAGAAAAACTTAAAATCACAACCCTAATCTAACTTGCAATCTGCCCAGTCACTAATTCCTCACTTTCTAGACCATTCCAGCTCCAAATCAGGTTCAAAAGGCCTTGTTTTAAAGATTAGTTAGTCCTCTTCAATTTTGTAGAAGGGCCCGAATCCGGAATACATCATCTTCATGCCCAAAAGTCACAATTAAGCATGAAATTGGTGTTTTCCGGAGTTGGGTTCATCTACAACGTTTTAGAGGACGACCTGAGCTTTAAAACAAGTCCTTTTGGACCTGATTTGGTGTTGAATTGGCCTTGAAATGTGTACTGTCTTTAATCTGGCAGATTTTTCATGTTTGATTAGGAGTTTTGTTTCTTAAGTTATCTTAATTTATTTAGTTTCCTAGTTTTATTCCAAGACCTTTTCTAGGAAGAGTTTATTGTTTTAGAATAAACAGCCCGGCCGGCCTTAGGGATTTTTTGTACGCAACTTCAAGAGAGAACTCCTCAGAGCTTTTGCGATTTGTAGAGTTTCAGACAAGGTGTTTTCAATCTTTTTCTTTTCAATAATATTTCTCTTTTATTTTAGTTATAGTTATGCGTAATTAATTTCTTTTGTTAGAACGAGACCACGAGCCTTAGCATGAATTGTCGAGTTTGCCTTAAGGTTGGTCACTGGGGCTGCGACTGCCCCTACCACCGTCGTGTCCCAAATGGTAATAGCCTATTTGCGTTGTCCTGCTGTGCATAACTAGTGCAAGCATAACATCCAGCTTGCTTTCGCATGAAATGTTATATTTGTAAAGTGTTTGATCACCACGTCACTGTTGACTGCCCGGAGCTGAAAACACTAATGAAACAGAACTCAGGGAAAGAGGGGTTGACCTTGTATGTCTAATGGTATCATCCTGCTGAAGGTGAGGATTGGGAATGTATCATGTATGAATGCTGCAACAGTTGTATTGTCTGGGACGTCATTGCATGGCAGTAGCTTAATTTTCTCTTTACTTTCTTAATTTTCTCAAAAAAAACAAGGACACACAAACACTGCAAATATTACATATACTAAAAACAATACTTTGAATTCATAATATAACAGAGTACTTGATCTAGATGTTCTTGTATCTGGAAAGACAAACCTAAGAATCAAATTCGAACTTCGACAACTTGGAATGGATGCCGTATCTCATCTCTGCATCTTAGGTTTGATAAAACTAACGACCTACGAGTGTGTCTGTTTTGATGCCTAAAATATATTTTCTACGTAATTTATATACTGTGGAAATATAAATGACGTTTTTTTAATCTCATGAACATGTAATTTTCGTTGCTGACTATCCTTGATAAACAAGAGTTTGCCAGATTTCTTTGAAATCCAGTTATCTTTATTTATCTTGCAAGCCAAGGCATCCCATCTTAACTAGAAAATGCAAATAAAAATCTGAATCTACATCCTTTCACATCTTTTTGGAGGTGAGCCGCATTAATTAAACAGAAAAATTAAATAAACTACCAAATTTACATCTCTTCTATTAGAGTAGAAATCACGTAATTGTGACGCATTTAAGCGTTACAGAACAATTCGTTGTAACCACATATTAAACTAGGCCGAGCAACTCTACCACGAAATACAACCCAACCCAACTCACAATTGGACCCAAATAGCTTTCCAAGGCCCATCAAACCAACAAGCAGCCTTCTTCTTCTCTCTCGTCTCTTCGAAGGGGGAGCAGGACCTGAGACACGCAGCAGCAACAGCAGCTATCTCTGCTTCTCAATTTTGGGTTTTCCTTCTCTTATGACAATCGTCTTCCAGATTCAAAACCCATTTCCTCAAGTCCCCAAATTTCGTGTCGATATCGGAAAATTTTAGTTTCCACCGGCTGCTGTGGACTTTGATTCAATCGGGAGTCAAGATGCATCCTCCATTAACGTTACACAAGCACCCCATGTGTGCTCAAGTGAGTTCTCCTTCCCCTTTGCTTTCTTCTTCTTTTATTCTTGTATTTCTTATATATATATGATAAAAAATTGCACATCACTTCAATGGAACTTCGAGTTTGGAGTAATTCTTTTTTTGTTTGTCAAATGGTAACTGATATTTATTAAATTAATCGAATGCGAATCGATACATTGACATCTTCAGCTAGGATATTGGTTTCGGAAATGGATCATCTCTATTTGTGTGTACTGTTTCAAAGTCTCGTAGATTATGAGCTCTTAGGAGCGTTTTTAAATAACTGAAATTACTTTTGATGAATGTGTACATGGTGCTTCTTACAAGAAGCACTACAATTTTAGAACCCAAAGACAATTTTATTAAAAACGCTTTTAGTCATTTGAAAAAAATTTCCAAGCGAGCCTATATTGGACTTAATGGGAAAGGAACAATATACTAGTTGCGTCTGTGCCAATAGTGTCGATGGAAAAAAAATGCCGGAAAGTCGATAAACATAGTGTTCGGCTCAAATGCTAGTCGAACTCATTGGAGGCTTGCCAGAGTGTAACTGTTTAACCCATCTAATGTGTAGTTTTGAAAGGGAAAAGTGAACTTATAGACACGAGTCGTGTGACCGAAATCATTCATCATACAAACTCATATGGAGCTAGACATACGCAACCAAATAGACGAGTTATGTATTAGGATTTTTGCGGTAATAGCTGGATACAGTTTGAAGTTCTAACTTATATGAGGTTGAAGGAAGATGATTTTGATCAAACAGCCGCTCTTGTAAATCTGCAGAAGAGAAGTCATAAAAGTTGTCATCTTGGCATGTTGCTCTGCCATGAAGAATACTCTTAAGACTTGTTTTGCGAAAAATCTACAATATTCCAGAGCATTGAATAATCCACCACTTAGAGCCCTTAGTTCTAGTCCAAGGGCGGTCAAAGAAACTTGGATCGCGTTAGATTGGATTGAAGGCCTCTAAGTGGTGGAGTTTTCAATACTCCGGAGTATTGTAGCCACACCCCTTCTTTTGTTGTTTTGATGTTTTTAGATGGTTTCTGGTGTTGGAAGTTTCAGTTGTGAAATTAAGCAGCAAGTTCATATATACGTATATATCTCTGTATGATTTTATTTCTGTATCTTTGGGGTGCAGATCATCGAGGAGTTTCAGAAGTGTCATGTAGATCATCCTATTGCAAAATTCTTCGGTGAATGTACAGATCTCAAAATACAGCTCGACCGTTGTTTCCGACAGGAAGTAAGTCTAAGTTATCCAACTCTTTATTTCAAAAGTTAAAAATAATCATAATTATTGTAGAATCTTGTTAATTATTTTGAGGTAATAGTTTGGAACTACTGCAACAGAAAGCTGTGAAGAGGAAGGCAAACTTTGAACAGAGTAAAAAACTCCAGGAAAGGCTACAAACTTTGAGGAAGGAAACTGCCGAGATAAGCACTGAGAGTTCTGTGCAAGCTTAATGGCAAACCGAGGCATTCTTTTAGCGATAAAAAAGGGACTAATCTCTGAAGTATTTCTTATAGATGGATATACTGCAGTGTGTTGCTACCACAGATTAGTGACATGATGTGATACACCTCGATGTTGTGTTGCTGCTGATGCTGTCCTTTATTTTCTTTCATTTTGTCGAACTTTTGTTCGAACGGTCTCCTTTGTTTGAGAGAAACAGATATGTAAATGGATGTTCCAAATTAGTTTACAAGTGTGAGGAATATTATTTGTCAACGAGGATGTTCCGAAATAATTTCAATGAGCAGCTTCCGCAGATTTCGTTTTCCTCCTTTTGAGATGTGGATGCTAACGTGGATGCTAACGTACCGGAAAACTTTGGCAAATGGCATCACCATGAAAGACTGCCTCGTCTTTGCTTGAATTTCAATCCACGACTGCCACTAGAGTCGTTTCACTGGTTTAGCAACGACATTTAAAGGGACAATTCCCTCGTATCACCAAGGGGGCTCATACTGTATGAGCCAGTATGAGCCATCTTGGTGACACGACCGAATTGCCCCTGGAGTCATACAAATGCCACAATGCAGAATTGGTCGTCTTCGAATGAAGGTGCCGAACTTCAACATTTGGTGAAGGACATAAGGACGAGGAGGGTATAGGCAGGTTAACGCAAGCGGAAGCAAAGAAAAATAAAATTAAAACGAGAATAACAATAATCTGGAATCACTCCGGGGCTTCACATTAAGATAATCCTTTTGCCGGAAAACATTCTCAAAACGTTAATCCATCAATATCCCTTAACTATTGAGTTGCCAATTGCATCATGGAAATTTCAATTTCGTTAGAACATGTGTGTAACTTAATTTCGAGCAGTAGCAGATCATCCATGTCCTATTGACTGTTTTGTATTAGCATTTACTAATGTGTTGCTCTAATTTAGTCATCATCCTTTCGTGAAAAAGAGTTTCTGTTTTTCTATGAAAGTGCCTTACGATTTTCTTATTCTAGAAGGAGATAGAGTGAGTGAGGTGAGGCGTTTTAACTATAAAAGAAGGAAGAATGTAGGAAAAGAGGTTCTAGGCGTTTTAGCTATAAAATAAAGTTAAAAAAATTACATTAAAAGTTTTAAGCTGAACAATTAGAAAACATGAGTTCGAATAAAAAAAAATTGGTACGATTTGACATAAAAACATAAAACTTGGAAACATGGCCGAATCGGAGGGTCACAAAGCCCATTCAATAATGGATTGTTTGCCTTTTCCACTAGATTTCCCGATTAACCAGGGGCATCCTATACTTTGTTCTTTTTTGCTGGCTTTACCCCTACTATCAAGTGAAAATAATAGGCGGTCGGGCAACTCCGCTTCTAGGATCTCCTCCAACACTGGCTGATTAGCTCCAGATCCTTCTTTGTTTTTATTTTTACCATTCTTTTCCTCGAGCAAAGGAAATAATGGAATAACTGGTTCCTTCTCAAGGCTCTGTTCCCTCATTATTCCCCTGGCATAACCATTCTTTGGAGTAGAGTACTCCATATCTAGTCTTCTCTGCAAACTCCCTGTTAAAGAGCAGAGTCTGCTGACTTCTTGTCACATCCTGGCCCGGGCTCCCACCACATCTCAGGCTTGAGTCCACCGTACACAATATTGTCCGCTTTGGGCCCCGACCACGCCCTCACGATTTTGTTTCTAGGAACTCACATGAGAACTTCCCAGTGGGTCACCCATCCTGGGAATGCTCTTGCGCGCTACTCGCTTAACTACGGAGTTTCCATGGAATCCGAAGCCCGTGATCTCCCAAAAGGCCTCGTGCTAGTTAGAGATGGGAATATATATATAAGGCTTACATGATCCATACAATCCACCCCCCTTAGGGGCCCGACATTCTTGTAGGCACACATCCGACCAAGGATTGGCTCTGATACCAAATTGTCACATCTCAACCAAGACCCCACCACCACATCCCGGGCTCGACTCCACCGTAGCACAATATTATCCGCTTTGGGCCCCGACCACGCCCTCACAGCTTTGTTTTTGGAAACTCACACGAGAACTTCCCAGCAGGTCACCTATCCTGGGAATGTTCTCGCGCACACTACTCGCTTAACTTCGGAGTTCCGATGGAATCCGAAGCCAATGAGCTCCCAAAAGACCTCGTGCTAGGTACAGATGAGAATATATATATAAGGCTTACAGGATCCACACCCCTAGGCAATGTGGGATGTTACAATTCCCCCTTGGTTTCTAGGGAAATCTTCTCCATACTTCTTTAACACTTGCACCATGGTGGCTTGCAAGTCTTCGTTGGTCACCATTCCCCCCAACTTTTTAGATGAGGTCGGGCTTCTCAGAACAGCTGGTCCTTGTAAAGAGGAAACATTCTCTGGGCGATCTGTCATGTTTGATCTTGGTAGACACTAGGGTAGCCCGTACTTTGTGTTCCACCTGAAGGTTTTCTCCTTCCTTCTTCTTCTTAGCATACAAGACTAAATGTGTCCCACCGAGTGTGCCAAAACTATGTTCGGGCGAAGATTTCTGCGGGGAAGGATTCTTGGCACCTCAGCACAGCTCCCCAAGGTGTTGGCACTTTGGTTGTGTAGTCGAGCTCTTGCTTGCTGGTGTGCTGCAAGAAGAGGACAAAGTTAGTTCTGAAAGGTGTTTTGTGGGGCCTTAGGTGTAGGCCTTGAGGCTCGTAATCAAAACTAACTGAAAGGTGCCTTTTTCAATTCATAGTCTTGTATGTTCGAATGAAGGGAGTCCAGATCCCTTTTAAGTCATTTAGCCGTTTGCTTGATTCTCGATTGATTTTAATGATAGCATATCTATTAAACTAACCAAATCCAGATGCAAATGAGACTCTTAAAGTAGGAAAACAAGTGGGCATGGCTTGAATACATATTGGAGAATGCATTAAGTAATAGATCTACAAATTTAGAAAACAAACAAAGAGTTTCAGGTAAGATTTCACCTTGTCTAGCAATGTTGAACTTCTTGCAGTCGCTTCTCTTTGTGATTACAGGGGTTTGTATGCTAGAAAGGGATGGATGGTAAACAAGTTTACACAATGGAATCGATACTACGCCACTGAGGAGATAGCAGAGCTTTAAACTAGAGAAAGAGATAGCTTGTCGCTAAAAAGGACTGAATCTGGGTTGATTTCAGCTTTTGGATGCAAATCTGGCTTGAGAACAGAATTTGTATGTTTGTTTGTTTGATTGGTTGAGTGTCCTTATCTCTGGGGCCCCTTCTTCCTTTTTTAAGCCGATTAGCCCAACTGCTGTAACTTTGCTTTTGCCCGAAAGCATCCGAAGGGTAGTGAGTCATCATCTTTTTACTTGTATTGCCATTGAAAAGTATTTTTTGGCTGATTGTGAGTTAGTTTACATTGACATTTAAATCATAGGCATATGGCCTATGTATTAATTGGGAGGCACCAATTTGTCCCTGAGCTTGATGTTGGGCTTCAGGGTAATTCTTCTTTTAATTGGCATTTCTAGACTTCCACATATTTACAGCCCAATGTTCAAATATTAATCCAAACATGACCTTTCAACAATACAATCACCACCTCATTCATGGCGTGTGTTTGTATAGCTCAACAGCTTAACTTCTTATCTTACCATAGCTAGATCTTCGACACCCTTTGTCAACAGTGCACAAAATAATTCTTTAACCAAATAATGATCGGACCAACTAATTAATGGTATCGAAGTAGTACTTCATTTCTTAATGTTAGAAGATGTTCCAAATTTGAATCACAAGCCCAATAATCGAAAAAATATGGTCACCAAAATGATGAGTATCCAAAGAAACTCTTTAATAGTAGACTTGAAATGCTAGACATATTTAACTATGCAAATATTTATTGAGAAAATTAAAGCGCATCGCCAACACATACTAAGGTGATCGATTAAGAGAATACAAGATAAAGCTTCAAGGCCTGTCTATCTATGATTGAGAGTTTATAAACTACTCAACCAATACAACTTTATTGCAGATTATACGACTCCTACAACACACATAGACGCAAGGAGGTTAGCTAATTCTTTGTTTGAGTCTCTGCAGCACCAACTCCCAGTTTTCCATCATGGCCGTGGCCATGACCTCCATGCCCTCCGTGACCGTGGTCATGTCCATACCCTCCGTGACCGTGGTCATGTCCATGCCCATGGTCCTGAACTTGGTCGCCGGCCTTTTCTACGATGTCCTCTTTCTCTAGGGGTAAAAAAAGAGAGTAGAACTTTACAAATAGAGAAGAAATAAAATGTTGAAATATATATATACATCACTTAACAATTATACGATGGTCTAAAATTAACATATGCATGCACGTACAAAAGCCACAAGCCGTACATATAACATGAATAATTAACAGCATGTTTTTACATCGATTCAGAAGTTATTAGAAGCAATATATATTTCGTTCTCCAACTAATTAAGATATATATTGTTCAAGTTGCTTGGAAGACAATTTTGTTTGGCATACACTTGAGGACATCATGTTTTTAGTCCTTCGCTCTACTTACTAATTAAACATGTTTTAGTTAAAAAATGGAGAAGAAACTCACGAGCCGAGATTTCAGAGGAGAGAAGGAGAACAGCAAAGACAAGGCCAAGAAGAAGAAAAGTCCTTGAGGACGCCATAATTTTCCGAACAATATTAATACAAAGGAAGCACAGTAATGGTTTCTGAAGGTTGTACGTAAGAGAGGATTGCTGTGAAGTATAATGTGTGGTTTGGCCCTCCCTATTTATAGACCTTTATAAGAGAGTGGGAAGTGAGCGACGGTGGCCGGAAGGAGATTGAAAGAAGATTTTTTATTAACTTTTTCCTAATCAGAAGATAAGTATGACTAAGGGCTAAAGCGCTAAAACATTATATAATTATCATTTTGGACTTTAACAAGCAACTTTGTTTGTCCCCGAATCCGTTCAACCCGCTCTTCGAAATTACTCACAGATTTTGGAAAGAGATGAAAATGAGAACTTGGGTATTTATGGGGACGGATACGAGGAAACTGAAATTTTTTGATACGAAGGTACCGTAATTGTCTCCAAATCCGGCTCGCTCTATATTTTCTTATATTATATGTATGTTTTCGCTAGTCATAGTTTTGGATGTGATTGTTTTATGGTTTTATTCGTGATTTGATAGTTTTTTTTTGTTTTTTTTTTTTTATGATTATAGCCTTTTATGCTGCTCGCATTATGTGATCAAAAAGTTTTTTTTCATTAATTATGACTTATTGATGAAATCGTTACCCATACTTAATGTATACATAATTATGAGGGTACGACCGATGGTTAATTTTGTGATTATAAATATGAATAATTTTTATAATTATGGGAATGAATATGACACACTTGTCTCCAATTTGAATCCTAAAGATATATTTTTAAAAGATTTGCTCTTAAGTCTCTCGTTTGTGAACCTAGAGTACTCATATTTGAGCTCTGATTGCAAGGACAAAAACAAAGGAGCAGTGATACTATCGTAATTATATTGAATTTGGGCACAATGACAATCGTAATTAAGTTGAAGTTTGGTTCATAAATTATTGGAAACTGTTTCTTCGTAAATTACCAGCATAAATTACAAACTGTTTCTTCATCAACTACTAGCATTTTCTCAAACCTAAACAATTTCTATCATATACTTTATAAAATATTAAGGAGTGAGTCTCATAAAAATATGTGTAAAAAAACATGTGTCTCTAGATCCTAACCCTTTAAAGAATTATATTCTACTTTTTGTACAGCCCCACATAGAAGCCACATTCTTATGAAAAAACTATTGACGGTAATTTGTGAAGAAATAGTTGCACATAATTTATGAATCAAATTTCAATTTAATTATGATACTGTCAATGAAGCCAAAATCTATATAATTACAATATAATTACGATACTAACATCGCCTTTAATCTTATGATTAAAGAAAGTTCTTGTGAGACATATTTTATTAGTTTTTTATATTTTCTTTGTTATTAAAATGGAATAGGCTGCTCTATATCTGAGAAATTCTAAGAGCAACTCCAGCCCGGCACCAAGTGAAGAAAATGGCCCGGCACCAAGTGAATCAGCTCCAGCCCACAAAACAGGCTGGCACCCAGCCCGTGCCAGTCAGGAGCCCAACCCAAAATGGACAGACCCAGAGGCCGGTTCGTTTCCCTGGCGCGTGCACAACACGCGCTCCTGGCGCGAGTAGCCGACAGCAACTGCAGGCGGTGGGGCCCGCGTGCAGGGCAAGTTGCGTCCGTCTGTCAAAGGGCTACGTGGCCCTCCTCAGAGCCGTTGGATTTCCAACGGTAAAAAAAATTTAAATTTCACTTTTAAATTGGACCGTCCGATCACAGATCAACGGTCCACGTTTTTTCACCAAAAATTAAAAAAAAAAAAAAAAGGCCCAACGGTCAGAAATTTGACCGTTGGCCACGTGGCAGCGTGCTGGCTGTTGGATTTGATTATTTTTCAAATCCAACGGTCCAGATTAATTACAACATTAAAATTAATTAAAAATTGTCAAAAAATTTTTAAAAAATACAGAAAATTTTAAAAAATTAATTTTTTTTTCTATAAATACCTAACCCTCATCTTCCACCTTACACCACATTTCAATAATTTCTACACTTTCTACACTTTCTACATTTGAATATTTTGTACACTTTGAGAGAAAAAAATGACTTCGTGGAAGCTCAGTGAAGATGTTACGTTGTGTGAATGTTGGGTTCGCACTACTCATGACCCGATTACGGGTAATGAGATGGATAAGCGAGAAATGTGGAGTAAAATTACGAAATCGTTTTGCGATGTACATGGAAAAGATGCCAGATCTAGTCAAGGTCTTCAAGGTCGTTGGATAATGACACATGGCGTGACGAGATTGGTTAAAAATCTTATCGAAATCTTGCCTAAATTATTGTAAACAGGAAGTGACACGTGGGTTGTCGGGATTGGTTGAAAATCTTAGCGGAAATCTATTAAAAAAATAGTACGTTCGGATAATGACACGTGGCATGACGAGATTGGTTAAAAATCCTATCCGAAATTAAAACTATTTTTTTATTTATTATTTTATAAAAAAATTATTTAATATTTTAAATGGACTGGGTGCCAGCGCATTTTGTAGGGGTGGAGATCGTTTGTGCCAGCGCATTTTTAGACTAGGTGCCAGCACATTTTTTTTAGGGTGGAGATGCTTTGGCCTATTACCGTTCAATTAAGTGGATAAATGGGCTGGGTGCTGGCGCAAAGTGGATAGGGGTGGAGTTGCTCTAAAGTAGGAAGACCAGCTCATGTGTCTTTTAGGGTCCACTCACAATAAAAAAACTTATAGCTTACCCCCTCTAATTTGAGTAGTGCTAGATGTATTCTTGATTTGGTAAAACTTATAGCTTACCCCTCTAATTTGACTAGTGCTAGATATATTCTTGATTTGTACCATTATTTAGCCTATTTTTGAGAAATTCTGAAGTATGAAGACCGGATTATGTGTCTTTTAGGGCCCACTCACAATAAAAAAACTTATAGCTTACCCCCTCCAATTTGAGTAGTGCTAGATATATACTTGATTTGGTAAAACTTATAGCTTACCCCCTCTAATTTGAGTAGTGCTAGATATATTCTTGATTTGTACCATTATTTAGCTTATTTCTGAGAAATTCTATTGAGGTTTTAGGAACGATTGGGTCTAGAGATTACCGCCATAGCTTGCACGACACGACAGGTATGTGCATCTCTTTCCCTTCTTCGTTCTTCATCCTCTTACTTTTCCATTTCGAACAACTCATTTTCACATGGACAATTACTTTTTTTAACCCTAAAAATTAAATTTTTTTTAATACCAATTGCATGAACAATTCATCTAGAGGTGAAGATACACATGGACAATTACTATTCGCTAAAGTAATAATTACCTTTACCAAATTGCCTGGATAGTAATTATCTTAGTGGGGTAGAAATGCTTTTAGAAATAAACGAATCAAACTATTGGGCGAGCAATGGTGGTGGCAGGTAGGATATGTAAACATGGCAGAAGATGTAGCCGCAAAGGCGTGTCTATGAAGAAGGGGCTGTTCCCACTGTCGTGTTGAATATCTTGCCTTATCTCATTTGTCAATAAACGTTGTTGATTTGTCGCTTTTTATTCAAATCTTCCACCTATAATGCTAATAGATATGCAAATCATATCTATTCGTTTTTTATATTACATCAAAGACGATGTGCACAAAATACATATCTTAACATAACGTGTGGTTTGGCTCTCCCTGTTTATAGACCTTTATAAGAGAGTGGGAAGTGAGGGACGGTAAGATTTTTTATTAACTTTTTCCTAATCAGAAGATAAGTATGATTAAGGGCTAAAGAGCTAAAACATTATATAATTATCATTTTGGACTTTAACAAGCAACTTTGTTTGTCCCTGAACTTGGGTATATATGGGGACGAATTTGAGAAAACCGAAATTTTTTGATACGGTTGTGTGAGCAAAATGTACTGTAATTGTCTCCAAAACCGGCTCACTCTATATTTTCTTATTGTATGTTTTCGCTAGTCATAGTTTTGGATGTGAATGTTTTATGGTTTTATTCATGATTTGATAGTTTTTTTTTTCTTTCATTACTTATGACTTACTGATGAAATCGTTGCCCATACTCAATGTATACATAATTACGAGGGTACGACCGATGGTTTATTTTATGATTATAAATATGAATAATTTTTATAATTATGTGAATGAATATGACATACTTGTCTCCAATCTGAATTCTGAAGATATATTTTAGAAAGTTTTTGTTCTTAAGTCTCTCGTTTGTGAACCTAGAGTATTCATATTTGAGCTTTGATTGCAAGGACAAAAACAAAGGAGCAGTGATACTATCACAATTATATTGAATTTGAGCTTTAAAGTTTTCGCACATGTGGTAGCCGTTTAGAGGTTTTATTATTGTTGCCTTGCTTGAGCAAATTCACCTCTAGATCAGTGTTTGATCACTAGAGTATTGTACCTAATTGGCACTTATACACACAGAAGCTGCTGAATTTGTCAAGTATATGATCACACAGAAGCTAAGAAATGTTTTGTATTTGGGAGCTGATGAATTTTTACTCATGTAAATTTGCTTACAAGTACTATTTTACAAGTAAATTGGTTATGTCACTGCTCATTTATGTTGATATCTGATGTTGGAGAGTAATGGAGTTCTCGTAATGTAAAGAGCCAGGCTTTTGCAAAACTTTTGTGTGCGAGAAACAGATGTAAAAGGATGTTCCAAACTAATTTACAAGTTTGAGGAAAATTATTGTCAACGAGGATGTTCCGAAATAATTTGAAAGAGCAGCTTCTGTAGATTTCATTTCCCCCCTTTTGAGATGTGGATGATAAACTATAACTAGAAGTTTAATATACGTACCGAAAAACTTTGGCAAATGGCATCAGCACGAAAGACTGCCTCGTCTTTGCTTGAATTTCAGTCCACTACCGCCACTAGAGTTGTTCCACTGGTTTAGCAATGACATTTGAAGGGGCAATTCGCTCGTATCACCAAGAGGGCTCATACTGTATGAGCCCTCTTGGTGACCAATCGAATTGCCCCTGGAGTCTTACAAATGCCACAATGCAGACCTTGGTCATCTTCAAATGAAGGCGCTGAACTTCAACATTTGGTTAAGGACATAAGGACGAGCAGGGTACAGGCAGGTTAACGCAAGCGAAAGCAAAGAAAATTAAAATTAAAACGAGAATAACAATAATCTGGAATCACTCCAGGGGCTTCACATTAAGATAATCTTTTTGCCGGAAAACATTCTCAAAACGTTAATCCATCAACTTCCCTTAACTATTGAGTTACTTACATAGGAAACGAAAGACTAAATCACCATTGGACCTAGTGTGCATCACTCCTGTCTTCATCATCATCACCCAACTCAATCAGCCCGGCTTTGGATGTGCCTTGATTTTTCACTTTTTGCTTAATTTGCTGGATTTGAGAACAACGATCTCAAGGATTCCATCATGCTGGAAATGAGGAGAAAACAGACGGGGGTCAACAGGTCCAGGGAGCCTGAAAGAAAGGGTAAATGGTCCAGGCGAGGATAGTTGCTGGGCTCTCATATGGTACACAGTTGATGAGTTTTTCAAAAGCTCAACACCGTTCATGACTCCTTGTATATGAACCTTTCCGTCACGTTGGATAACACATTTTACGTTACCTGCGCCAAAGATAAACCAAATTTCCTATCAGTTACCTCCTATGAAATTCGCAGTCTTGGACTACATTAAGTTAAGCATTACAAATCAACAACAAAGCGAATTGCGAATTGCGTATCGAGAATTGAAAATGAAAGCACATTACCTCGATTTGTTTGAAGACCAGCAAGTGCAACTCGAGCAAGGTAGGCATCTTTGCTCTCGCCAATGTCAACAAGACCGCCATTACCTTCCTTTGCATTTGCTGTTCCAGTCAAAACGACACCCGAATCCTCCGAATGTGGACGACGATTCCCAACATTTTCTGCTCCCATCTTAGTCACTGACACACACTCATACCAGATTTCATTCAAATATTGAATTTAGGTTCACATGAAATTATCCGATATTTAGGGTTTAGGGTTTAGGGTTTAATGCACAGTTGAAAACAAAGCCAAACAATCAAAATTGTACTAAGTGTAATCTGACATGAACGCATATCAAAATTGGTGTCCAAACCCGATTCATAAAAAAAAAAAAAACAACGACAGATGATTAAGAGAATTTCTTACCTCCGCCGTCGCTGAAATCGCCGGAAAATGACGGACTCTGGGGATTCGATTCGCTGAAATGGATGGGTTTCTGGACAATGTAAGACCGCAGAAATCAACAAGAGGAAGAGAGGAATCCAACGCAAGAAACGCTCTGTCGATTGGTGGTTAGAAATGGAGATAGGGTCGGGTTCGTCGTGGCACGCCAAATGAATCCGGATCCTAGGGTTTTGGACCGAGACATTGTAAAATGATACGAGTTTGAATACAGGCCAGGCCGGGTCTTGATTTGGTTAAAATGGGCTGAAGACACAATTCTATGGGGTGTGGGTGCATGGCATGGCATGCTACTAAATTGAATTAATTTGTTTCGTTGAAGTTAAAAAATATTTATTTTTAATATTTGATATTTTCTTAGTAGAACAATAGCGTTTTTAGTGAACTAAATAGTTATTTGTTAGGAAGAACTCAAAGAGGAAATGAGATCGAACCCGCAGCATAAGCATGATTGTTTCATGCATGAAGGTTATCACATAATGAAGCTGAATCTCAAGAGTCATTGTGGAGTACAGTGTAGTAGACGACGTATTGCTATTTTTCCATCAAAAAGAAAACCAAAACAGGCATATGCAATATGAAGGCCAAAACATTAGCTATGCTATGCTATAGTAACATGTGATAAAAGTAGGTCAAGAAGAGATTTGATTATCTTTTCCTTCTTTGGCAGATTTGGTCTGTCCGTAAAATGCCAAAACATCTCCTTCCAGCAACTTGCTCCAATCATCTCTTTCGACGATCCTTTGAAAACTTATTGAATTCGGTAACTAGCGAAGTATATGAAGCATAATCAAGAGCAAGCCCTTTCTCACTCCGTAGCTTTTCAAAGTCCCCTGCGTTTCCATGCTTGCAATGCCCTTCCAATAGAATGTTGTATGTAATGTCATCTGGAGCCACCCCCAAATTAATCATAGCATGTAAGAGCATGCTAGCATTTTTCATCTGTCCTAGCTTGCATAGTCCATTCATAAGAGCGTTATAGGTTACAAAACTTGGCACATAGTCATCACTCTGCATCTCCTTGAGCAACTTAAAACCCATTTTAACATTGCCCTTCTTGCAAAACCCATCAATGACCATTGTATACGTGGCATCATCAGGTTTCATGCCAGAATCTAACATCTCCCTCAACATTTTTTCAGCGTCAAGGGTTCTTCCCTCTCTACACAATCCCGAAATAAGGGCTGTGAAAGCTACATTGTCAAGCTTAATCCCTTGTATAATCATTCCCTGCCTTATCTCTAGCGCCGAATGTAAATCTCCTTCTTTGCAGCATCCATCAATAAGTGTAGTATAAGTGATCGTGTCAGGCCTCACCCCAGTCATATTCATCTCCTCAACAAGCTTCCTAGCTTCCTTCAAATCACCAACCTTGCAAAGGCCATTTATGAGTGTATTATACGTAATCACATCTGGTTTGATACCTCTCCCCAACATTTTCTGATAAATTTCCATTGCCAAACCAATCCTGCCATTCTTACACTGCCCGTCAATCAAAGTCGTAAATGTGACAAAATTCGGAACCAACCCCCTCTCACACATTTCATCAAACAACAAGTTTGCATCATCCAGCCTACACTCCTTACACAACCCATTGATCAAAACACTGTATGTATATACATCAGGCAATGTTTTGCTCTCCTCCATACCTCTCTTCAACCTAAAACCCTCCTCCAGATTCCCGGATTTGCAATACCCATTAATCAGAGTATTGAAACTAACCACACTCGGGCGCAAACCCCGCTTCCCAATTTCATCAAACACCATCTGGACCTGTTCAATTTTTCCTTCCTTACACATTTTGTGCATCAAAACATTGAAAGCGTACACTTTCGGTGGAAACCCAGCGTCCAAAATCTCCAAAAAATACTCCCAGGCCACCACAGGCGAGTTCAACTTCAACATTTTATCAAGCAAACAGCCACAAACATGAAATGGGATTCGGAAATTATGCTTCCTAAGCAATCTAAAGCACTGAAATGCATCGGAAACAAACCCGGAATCCAAATACGCATTCATCAAAGCATCAAACACATAAGTGGACTGATGGGTACCTCTAGTTTCGAGAATCGAAGCGAAGACGGAAGATGCAGAATCCTTTCCCCTGCGAGAAACGACGATTCGTAGGAGGGAGAGGGCTTGGGGGTACATTTGGTGAGCGCAAAGGAAGTGGGCCATGGTGCAGTAGGATTGGACGGTGTGGCGAAACGTGGGGTGAGAAGAGAGCCAGTCGAAGAAGGAGAGGAGAGACAGAGGGGAGAGAGAGTGGGGGTTGAGGTTGATGAGATTGATAACGTCACGGGCTGTGAGGGAAGGGAGGAGCTTTCTGAGAGAGGAGGAGTAGTCGAGAGACTCAGAGTGGTTTTTGATGGCGTGGGAGATAGCTGAGAGCTTTGGGTCTTCATTGTGAGGATTTGGCGGGAGCGAGTACCAATTGGTTGCGGCTGCGGTGGTGGTGGCGGAGGAGAAGCGTAAGCAGTAGCGGCAGTTGTAGGTGTGCGGAGAAGATAGAAGCTGATAGCTTCTGGGGATTTTGAAGAGAGCCATTCAGCTGGAAAACGCTCAAAACCCGTCTCCAATGTAACATGAGGAAATTAAACTTTGTGGTTAGTTTTGAAAATCATCACAAAATCAGAGGGTGTGAACATAATTAGTAAAAAAATGAAGGACAGGAATTTGCAAAAAAAAAAAAAAACAAAGGATTTAAGAATTAAGAGCAGCACAAGTAAAAGTTTTACTGTAAAACCCACAGAAGAGCCCCATTGAGGAAGAAGAAGATGTCTCTGCGACAAGCAGCAGCTAACATGATCAAGCAGCGTTTCCGTTTGGCCTCTCAAACTTTCTCTTCAACTTGTGGCGGAGCAGCCACTGCTATTCCACTCGCCAGTAAGCAAATTTTCCATCTTATGATGTTAATCGCCATAGAAAATGGATTGATTTGTAATTAAAGAAAGTGAATTTTTGTTGTTGTTTTTGCAGGCCGTGCCAAATTTGATCACGGTTCTAAGGATTGTAGTTGGAGGATGAATTACAGCCACAGGGACCCTCGTCTGTGGCTTTTTGTAACCGGCAATGCAGGTATATGATCTCTTGCATCCCATTTAATCTGGATTTTGATGGATGAATGATCAATGCGATATGTTATGATCTTCGAGTGGGTTTTTTATTCGAGTGATATTCTAATTTAATCTAAACTAAACTATGGGGAGGGAGATTCGAACTCGCTGAGGTGAGCAATTTTGGAGTTGGGATGAGTCTATATGCATGGTTATTTTGCAAAATCCGCTAGAAGAAATCCTCTTTTATCAACCAAGTTAAAAAGAGTGGATTTTTCATGGAAAATGGTTTCTAGTTTTCTTTTCCGGAGGACTTCTTTTATCCAAGATTATCACGTCCATTTTGATGCTTTATCTGGCTTTAGCCTGCTCGTAATCTGATTAACGAAATAATTATTTATCTGATCTATAATCCAAATTTTCTCTGGATTTGGTTTCTGGTAAACGTAAGATCGTGTAGATGGCCACAACCAATAGGCATTGATGTGTTATTGAGTTGGTTTGTTTGTACATTGTCAGTCACATTATCCTGGGGTACTAGCTGTTTTATACGAATCTGATATGTGTTGGATCATGTCGGGAAATTTCATTTCTAAGGGCTTAAAGTAAGGGTCATTTTTGTTTCAGGACATCTGCGATTATACCCTTAGCTACATGATATACTGTCAGTCAGTCAGATAATATTTGTAAGAAATCTAAGGTCATGTTTCAGGACATCTGCGATTATACCCTTAGCTACTTGATATACTGTCAGTCAGTCAGATAATATTTGCAAGAAATCTAAGGTCATGTGGTGAAGTATCTCGGTATAATTAAGGGTTTGTTTAGAAAGACATACCATGTAACATATGTTTTCTATAACTAATCTTATATCTTTGCAGCTATTTTTCTTGGGATACATTCCAATACTGTCTTAGCAAAAGATGAATCAGTTGATCCTGATAATGGCACGGAAGGCGCTGAAGCCGTGGGATTGCGCAAGATTGAGGACGGTTCTGTGATATCAAATATACATACTTCTAAGTGGAGGATTTTTACTGATAAAGGGAGGGATTTTTTCCTTCAGGCAAGGATTATATGCTATGTGCCTTCGTTTGTTTGCTATGTTTTATTTATTCGATAGTTCTTTGGTCTTACCAATTTTATTTTATTGTTCTGTTTCCATTTGCTAGGGAAAGTTGGAGGAAGCTGAAAAGCTTTTCCTCTCAGCTTTACAAGAAGCGAAAGAAGGCTTTGGGGAAAGGGAGCCACATGTTGCATCTGCATGCAACAATCTAGTATGTGCACTACCCTTCAGTGGTCTATTTTTTTTAAGGTCACCCAAAAGCTGAATTGTTAATTCGTAGGGTAACTTAAATTTTGGTTGTCACTTCTACCATCAAAGAAACTGTGGAGTAAGATGGTTGCATCTTTCATGGACGTATTGCATAGTGTTATGGTTTTCTCTTTGGGATTCTTTAATGAGTAATTGCAGTTTTCTATTGTTATTGTTTCAGGCAGAGCTCTATAGGGTTAATAAGGCATATAATAAAGCAGAGCCTTTGTACTTGGAAGCTATCAGCATACTGGAGGAATCATTTGGTCCTGAAGATATAAGGTATATTATGGTTATTATGCAGACTATAGTAGCAAATGCTTACATATTTGGAATATGACCGGGCCGGGAAGGGAAAGACTTTTTTCTCCGGCGGGCTTTCTCTCTTCATTAACATGTAAAACTTAATTTGAATGGAATAAGGAATAATAAGTTACATTTCTTTAGCTTAGTAGCATATGATGGTTGTGTTTAATTATTTTCATTTGTGATTATGTCTTCTTTAATGGGATTTTTGGTGCTTTGAGTGGGAATGAGGGACTTCCATTGCACATTGGTGTTGTGTGTGTAAATGCAGTGAGAAATCAGTGGAACATCTATTCCTCCACTGTTTAGTTGCAAGGATCTATGGTACACCTTTCAATCACTTGGGACAATTAATTTTTGTGTAAGGCAATCTTAGATTTACTTTGTTCACAAGTGGTTGTTCTAGCAAACACTGAAATTGGGAAATTGGAAGACCATTTCCCTTATGCCTCTGTTGTATTTGGAAAAACAAGGATTTTCAAAGATAGAAAAACTTCCCACCAAAAAATGATAACGAAAGCTCAGGTTGGAAGCTGATGTCCGAATTGGCTGCTTTGTTCCTTATCATTGGGTGCTCTCAATGAATTGTTCTCTTCATTTTTTTTAAGGGTCTGTTTTTCTGTTTATTAGATTTTCTGGTTTCTCATGTATATTTTCTGCATATTAGAGAAGCCTTGATACAATGCACCATTCAATAAACTTATTGATTTTCAGAAAGGAGAAAAAGAGTAACGTATGTGTATTGTAGGGTGCTATATTGCATAGTTTTATGGAATTTGGAACTGACATAAGCATCTTTCATGCTTGAGTGTGTAGCATATAGTTTGTTTTCTCTTTCTTTTTAATTGCTTCTTAATTATGCAAATTTGTCAACACTAAGTACACTTTGAAAAACAGAGGTTTCTTGTTTTATTAGCCAAATAACTAGTAGCCTATTTAGTATTTAGTTACATTTTTGTTTCTGGTTTTCAACTCTTACCCTCTCATTTTTAAATAAGTATACAGAAAGAAATGAGAGGAAGAAAGAGAAATTTTACATCCCATATATATTTTCTTCACCCGCCCTCACTTATATGATTATATCATCCCTTTTATCACTATGCTTTCATTTTTCCTTTTATGTCCTCAAATGAAAATACAAAACCAAAACAAAAATGAATATACAATCATGATCTCTGTGTTGAGTCACTAATTGCTCATGCAAGATTCCTGTCCACAGAGTTGGGGTTGCCTTTCACAACCTTGGCCAGTTCTATATTGCCCAACGGAAGCTTGAAGAAGCTCGCACTTGCTACGAGGTGGGAAGTTTTATTTTTAGTCCATGTTTTGTTGTTATGACTATAGGTTCAACAACAGTGCCTATGTGGTCTTTGCTATCCTTTTATTTTAAGTTTGTTTTTTATGGTAGTTTGAGTCTCTATTTTCATTTTTATAAAGTTCATTAAGTAAATGTTTCTCTATTAAATCACCTGCATCTCCTTCCAGTATATCATCAGCATGCTTTTTTAAGCAAGGCATGGATAATGTTTGCATTAATTTAGTGAACTTGTCCTTTAACATTTGCTGACCTTTGTTTTTTTATTTTTCACCTTGCTCCCTGATTGACAATACATTTGGACAGCGTGCTTTGAAGGTATTACACCAGGCTGCTTTTACTTGTGCATGTAGTAATGTAACTATTTATGCTGCTAACTCCAACATTATGATCACCTTGTTCAGATTAAGGGCCGCGTTTTGGGTCTTAACCATTCAGATTATGCAGATACTATGTATCATCTTGGAACGGTAGATTTTTAAATCCCTGTATGATAATATATTGATTTGTTCTACATTCTTGGTTCTTTTTTGTGTCTAGAATAAAAAATAAACTCAAATTAGGATGTCCTCTTGTATAAACAGATTAAAGAGAATTGAGTGAAGCAAAGAACAGGTAGAAAGAGACGGAAAATGATAGAAGAAAGAGAGTAGAGAGACTCAGAGACAGGATAAATTGAAAGCCAAATTAGGGTAAACATAAAATCTGTATTCTCATTTTATATTTTAGAAGTATGAAACCCCGTTTTTTCTAATTTGCGTCATATGTTAGAAGTAAGAACTCCGTTATGAATTACATAGTGAAGCCGCATAAATGTTTCCAATTTGTGAATGGGCATTTTTTCATTGGAGATGTACAGAAAAATGTTTCCAAATATTCCCATCGCAATAAATTATTTAACTAGATTTCTGTTTTACTGCAGGTGCTACACCTCCAAGGAAAAGAAAAGGATTCTGAGGCCCTTATTCAGGATTCAATCAGAATACTTGAGGTCAACAGCTTGTACATTTTTTTTCACTGTTTGACATTGACATTTACTATTGTAACACTCATTTGTTATTTGACTATATAGGATGGTGGCCTAGGGGAGTCAATGGTGTGTGTCAAGAGAATGCGATCTCTTGCTCAGGTTGTCTCTTCTTCCAGGTTTCCACTGTGACTCTTGTTTCACAATACATAATTATATATGATGATTGGGTTTACATACCAAATGACAATTTGAATTGTGAGAGGAAGTCTTAACTCTCTTAGAAAGTTGATGAAGTTTATGTATAAGGGCTTAACATTTACACCCTTTATGTTACAGAACCCTCCTCTTCAACTAATGCTCAAGATAAACCTCAAATTGCACCCCTCGTCAAAGCTTGCTGCTTTGGGCCTTGACTCTAAATTTGTTTTATAACCAGTTCGTCCATCCACATACTTTATTGGAAATTCTTGGATATAAGAACCAGACCCTTCTTTATATATTATATTCTGGAACTGTTGGATAGCCTAAAAAAACTTACAGCTGCTCTTATGTACCACTCGGATACATTTTGGTTATTGGATGTCTTCATCTTTCCCGTAAGTCTAATTAATTTCTTGCTTCTCTCTCTAGATGTATACGAAATCCAATCGTTTTGCAGAGGCTGAGAACGTACAAAGAAAGATTCTACATATAATGGAATTAACAAAGGTTTGACATTTAACTGTTTTTATCTGTATCTTTTCATACTATATGCTAAAGTTAGTTTAGTTCATAAAGTTTCTTATAGAAGTTTGGTGCGTGCATAAATGAATTGCTTTCTCCTGACTTGTTTTCGGTAGACCTTCATGTTTGGCTATGTGGAGAAGAGAAATTCTATTTACAAATATTTGTTACTGTACGGTGATGCAGGGATGGAATTCAATGGAAACAGTTATAACAGCTGAGGGGCTCGCACTGATCCTACAATCCGCCGGGAGCTTAAAGGATGCTGAAGAGCTTCTTGAAAGGTAAGGGCATTGTAATTGAAGATCAGATGATGTGATATTCCATCACTTACGAGAATTTTGTTTTACTACTTTCCTTGCAGATGTCTTGATGCTCGGAAAACCTTACTTCCTGAAGATCATATCCAGGTTTTCTTTTGCACATTCAGCTCATGTAAATATCCCCAAGAATGTTGCATATATTCTGATTGCTTATGATTTTGGATAGCATTCACTCCACATCGTCATATTTCATTATGAATACATGGCAATAAGTTATGCATTCACTGCACTTCGTCTTATTTCATTATGAATACATGGAAATGCTGTTTTGATTGGTTCTGATTCTTGAGAGCATTCACTTATACTTCGTCTTATTTCATTATAACAAGAAATATATTGGCAAAAATCAATAATGTACAACATAGGCATGTGCAACAATTAACTCTAAATAATTAATTGTATGAAAAGATAAAAGGGATATATTATGGAAACTTAAAATAATATTTCTATCTACACCCCCACAAACCCTAATATTTTCTCAACACAAATTCATCTTCCCAATCGTTCATCTTCTTTCCCCACAAACCCCTGACATTTTATCAGCTGAAAGCTTACCAACTGATCAACTTAATATACAGTGTTTCGTCCTCTTCATCAACTAATACCTATTCGATATTGGATTTGATGTAAATGAAAGTAGCATTTCTGCAATACCAAAAGACACTGCCTAAATGAAGAAGAAATAAGAATTACTTATGCTCATGGAAACAAATTAACAGTATTTGAGTATGAAGTTGTATGGAATTTGAATTCCAAGTGAAAAAGAATAGTATGGCTGCAATAATTCACTTAAAGGAAAAGTTAGCATGCACTTTGGATTAGGCCTGATTTTTTTTTTTTTTTTTTTTTATTATTATTATTTTTTTTTTTATGTCAATGGCCAGATTGGTGCAAATATGCTTCACATTGCTAGAGTGGCAATGATCAATTCCAACCAACTAAAGAAGATGGACACTTCTAAAGCAATTGCTGAGCTTGACAAGGCCAGAGATAATTTAAATGAGTCCATAAGGTTTGTTTCATTTTGTCATAAATTTTACGCAAAAGAATTTGTAACTATACAAATGAAAGTACGGGTGTTCGGAGAAATTTTATTAAATTTTGTTCCCATTGATTGACATGGTTGATTATTTAGGGTACAAAATGGCCCCTTTAGAGCTACAATTTTAGGCTTTCAATAGCCCAAGATCTAAGTGAATGACTAATCAAAGAGTGAAAACCTAAAACCTAAGCTTTAAATTGTGGTTCTACACCCTAGGCAATCAACCAAGTCAATAAATGGGATCATCGTGAAAGAAAATATAGAATAAATGAGACTTTCTCAATGTGAAAGAAAGAAGAACTCGTATTAGGTATGTCTATGGTTATGGCTTCGGCCAAGGAGAGAGAATGTTTCCTTGTGAGATGTATGGTGACATTGATTGGTACTTATAACTTCTATACTTCGTATGTTGTGCGTTTCACTTTTTGATTCAGTTAATAACATATGATAGAAAGCCCCTAGGGTTAGCCCAAGTGGTGAGGGAGGGTACCGTAATGAGCTAGGATTAGGATTGGTCCAAGGTGTAATTCCCTTTATTGTAACCAAAAACTAAGAATATATCATAAACTAGTTATTATTTATGAGAAATCAGCTTTCTTTACAAAAAAAAAAAAAAAAAAAAAAAAAAAAAAAGAAAAAAACTAAGAATGTATCATGAATGGTTAGGATTGGGATTAGACTTCATCTGTGTAAATTTTTAGAACTTTCATTTTTCTGTAATAGGATAGCACGGTGTTCTTTGGATAAATCAATCAAGAAGAATAGAAAGACGAAAAGTGATATTGGAAGGAGTTGTCGTGTGCCGTTGGTCATAATGGTCAGTTTTCGTCTTTGCAACAAATATTTACCTCTCTGCTGTATAATTCTCTTCCTGTCTCTCTCTTCTCACATCCGGGTCTTCTTAGTTTTATGCGGGGATTTGTGACTGCAAATATCTAGTTCTGTACTTTAAAGTTAAGGCGCATGCATTGCTTATATACACATTTTCCACTTTGGGTTTGATGGATGTATGTACTTACAGTTGCAAGCATTTGACGCTCTTAGCCTTGTGGCGATCGCTAAGCAAGAATTACAGGAATCAAAGGTTTAGTAATTTTTCTGGTTGACCTACTGCTATAAAGAAAAGTGTGTTTTCTCATATACTGTCAATTCAAACTGGCTGACCTATTACTATTCTTGTAAACTGTAGCAGGATGAGTGTTCACCTAACATCGAAGCTGAGGATGCACTATTTAGATGCATCTCTGCTTACAAAGAGGTACTTTTTTTGTATTCACAACTTAATTGCTCTCGCTCATTTTTATGGTTTTCTCCTCCTTCTAGGTGGTTATTTAAATAAATGGTTGCGAATGCTCTTAGGAGTAATTCTTTTTGTATGTTTTTTATTTTGATTAAATATTGGAGAGCAATGAAGCTAATTCATTTTTCATCAGACTTTACATCTGCAAACTTGTATACTGTATAAGCTGTGTTGCTTAAGTTGTCATAGGGCCCGAAGAAATGTCCATAGCTTACATTACGTGAAAATATTGCTAAAGTATTTGATATTCTTGTTCCGGTTCACTACCTACAGGCAGACATTGTCTCTGAGCTTAGTTCTACTATATAAATCAATCCAATTATTTAACTTTTCAGGAGTTACCTTTAAGGGACAGTGTTCATACTTCATTTTATTCTTAGCTAGGTATATTTAGGGCGATTTTGGGAGGGCTAGAATCACTTTTGGGAAGACACACCTCCTATGTGCTTCTCCATAAAATCATTAAAAGTGACTACCACACTCCCAAACAGGCCCTTGGTAAAACAAGAAAATCGAAGACTCAAATAATAGGGGACCTACTTATCGAATATACTTGGGGAAGTCCATGGTAAACTTTATGCGGTTCACCTTTCGAAAATTGTTCTCAATCCGTTCATATGTTCAATAGAAGACCAGTGTGATATTGTTTCACAATTAACATCTAAGCCTTCAATTTTTGGATGTTCGTTGTGCCTTCTTATAGTTGTGTTTGCATTTTGATTTGTTTCTCCTTGTCTATTTGTAGTTTGTAACTGAGAAGTCAATTGCTGAGTTACCTGAAGTAAAGGCAGAGTATCTTAAATGTTTGAAGCATCTTATAAGCTTAAATGGTGGTAGCAGTACCCAAACGTCACAGCAATCTACAAGAGTCAATTTGCAAGATCTGGGAGATGAAATCAAGCGTCTTGAACTTGAACTCTCCCTGTCTAGGAAACGTAAAATCTAAGGCAGCTGTCAATCGTCGATTGTTGTTGCAGAAGCAGTTACAGGTAAAAATAAATATTTATTCTTGTCATTGCTTCTATCTACCAATGAATCTGATTTAGGACATTGCTTCAAAAAAAGCTCATGGCAAACGTTGGCGGGTCACTTCCTCAAATTGACCCGCCAACATTTGTTATGATAATTACATCAACAGATTGTAACTTTTGATTACAACAGTATAACAGACATTTTGGACATCCTTGATTTATGTCATTCTTTTCGATCGTAGACACAAATCTTTTGCTAGAATTACCTCTACTCTCGAACTTGTCGTCACCCCCCGGACCCCCGAGCAGATTTATACTGCTCACATAACTTACAGCGGTGAAATTGTGCCAGCTTTGAATGGGAAGACACTTGAGTTAATCGCCTATGAGCAACCCAAAACGATAATGTTTTCGAAGTTGGAAGCTCAACTTCAGGTGTAATTGTCCAGGCACCCTTGTAATTAGCAGCACTAAATCACGGTGGATTCTCAGTATTGTCGTCAGTTTTCATGGCAATAGGGGCGATTCGAGAGAACTAAGTCCTCGACTTTGTACATGTCTGAGGTCGGAAGGTTGTTAAACCGTCTATTTTTTAAGTTGCAGTTCATAGATCATTTTTGCAAAATATTAGCCAAATCAGAAATGTTTGAGGCATCTAATTAATTTGGAAGAAATTAACGAACATTATGTTTTAAGAAACATTGAAATTACATTGTGACAATTAAATTGGCAAATAGTTTCATATTTAGCAATTAGGGCCTTTAGACTTGCAATACTTTCGGATTGTATAAGCTCTGTTGTTTAAGTCTCTTTTAATTTAACTAGGTTGAACGTTTAGGCCATTGTTAAACTTTCCAGTGAACCCAAATCCCCATTTCCATTGAATGTTCTTATTCAATTCTGAGAATGCTAGTGCTGCAAGACCAAATTGCATCCAAAGATGCAAACACTCCCACGAGAGGATAATATATGACACTGACGTCCTGTACCAATGAAATAAAAACACGAATATATTTTTTTATCCTCATGTTCATGTTTTATTAGATAAGACATCACGTGGCGGTGTACTGTCCCATATAAGCTTTTGTAAACTTGTCTCTATCATTTATCCACGAGAAATCTGATACCATTTATTTTAGAGGGATAAATGATGGAGACAAGTTTACAAAAAGTTAAAACAAAAACCAAATTTGCTTTCTTTGCAGCGTGGAACTTCATTTCCCCACAAATTCCAAAACCCACATTAGTTTCTATGCCATTAATATATTTGAACATCCTTATTTTCCCCAACTATTGTCATCAACTCCATAAAGTTATAAGAACTCAGTATTAAAAATTCATCATGCAGAGAAGAAAGCCGAGGGGAAGCTTCAACGACATTGATGAATCGGCAGTAGTAAAGGCAGCTGCATGGGCATGGTTGGAGCACTGTTCGGGTTCCGACGGCAAGTCGATCATGCCGGAATTCGATTTAACAAGGACTTGTCACGCTCCTTATAAACCGTCCAGGTACAAGCTAGAAGCTATGAAAAATATAGCCAATATTAGCAGTAAAGAAAGTGTTACTGCATCTAGTAACCCGCTTCTTGATACATATGAAATTGAAAGTATATCTCGGAAATTGGATCAACTTATAGAATTTAGTGGTGACAGAGGCAAACTTCGTAAGGGTTTTCTAGTTGGAGACGTTCTTGGTATAAAGAACATGAAAGAGGGCGGGAGAGGTTTGGACTCTGACCTCGAATACAGAGATAAACGCTCTTTACCACTGAAACTACACGTCCCCGAAGACGTTCGTCAACAAGAATGTGTGCCGCTCGTGGATGGTAACACGAACGGGAGGAAGAAAAAGAACAAGAACGTTAGAGGAGGGTTTTGGCATAGGCATGCGGCGATATGTGGCAGAAGTGAAGATGTTGTAAACACACAAGCTTTCGTGGTTCATCGTCGGCGGCCGGAAAAGGGTGTATATGTACGTACCGGTGGACCGGTGGTTAAGGCGCGCGGCGAACTTTCGGCCACGGAGGCCTTGTGATCAGTTGGAACATATTAAGTTTTGATGGGTCTGGTCGTTGGCTGTGTAACTGTCTACGGCTATACCACAACTGTATTCTTCAATGCACGTTATTGTATATATGATCATTTTATTTTACTCTGTAGTCAATAAAATACAAAGACAACGGGCATCCGAAAATTGTAAGGATTTGTCATTAGGATTGGGATTAGATATTGAAGAGCAATGAAGGTAATTGATTTTTCGGCAGACTTTGCATCTGCTAACTTGTATACTGTATAAGCTGTGTTGCTTACGTTGTCGTAGGGCCCGAAGAAATGTCCGTAGCTTACATTACGTGAAAATATTGCTAAAGTATTCGATATTCTTGTTCCGGTTCACTACCTACAGGCAGACATTGTCTCTGAGCTTAGTACTATATAAATCAGTCCAATTATTTAACTTTTCAGGAGTTACCTTTAAGGGACAGTGTTCATACTTCATTTTATTCTTAGCTTGGTATATTTAGGGCGATTTTGGGAGGGCCAGAATCACTTTTGTGGAGACACACCTCCTATGTTCTTCTCCATAAAATCATTAAAAGTGATTACCACACTCCCAAACAGGCCCTTAGTAAAACAAGAAAATCTAAGAGCCTGTTTGGTACTCTACTTGAATCCAACCTTTTAAACTCAAAAACAATTTTCAAGTTTTAGGCTTTAAAAACTTGTTTGGTAGGACTATTTTAAAAAACTGAACTCAAGACTAACTAAAAAATATAATCTATTCTCTAAAAACACAAAAAATGAGTTTTTAGAGTTTTTAAACTTAAAACTCCTTCCTCTCTTTTCTCTCCCTCATCCCCTCACTCCAAATATATCTCTCTTTTCTTCTTTCTCTCTCCCCCTTCTCTTCTTTTTTATTTAACCTTTTTCGTCCCTCTACCAATCCGCTTTCTTTATTCTCTCGGTTCTTTCTCTCACTCCTCTTCTTCTCTATCTCTTCCGATCCTCTCACTTTTTTCTCTTTCCTCCAATCGTCTCTTACTTTCTTTCCTCCTCTCTCCTCTTTCTCTCTCGACCCCATATTTTTGGATCTCTTTGTACAGTTTGAGTTGGAAGATTTAAAATTTTTAAATCGCATACCAAACAAATTTTTGAGTCCTAAAGAAAATTGTTTTCATGAAAAATTCTTAAGAAATGTTTTGAGAAATTATAAAAAAATTTCAAATAAGATACCAAACAAGCCCTAAGATTCTCAAATAATAGGTTAACTACTTATCGAATATACTTGGGGAAGTCCTTGGTAAACTTTATGCGGTTCACCTTTTGAAAATTGTGCTCAATCTGTTTACATGTTCAATAGAAGACCAGTGTGATATTGTTTCACAATTAACATCTGAGCCTTCAATTTTTGGATGTTCGTTGTGCCTTCTAATAGTTGTGTTTGCATTTTGATTTGTTTCTCCTTATCCATTTGTAGTTTGTAACTGAGAAGTCAATTGCTGAGTTACCTGAAGTAAAGGCAGAGTATCTTAAATGTTTGAAGCATCTTATAAGCTTAAATGGTGGTAGCAGTACCCAAACGTCACAGCAATCTACAAGAGTCAATTTGCAAGATCTGGGAGATGAAATCAAGCGTCTTGAACTTGAACTCTCCCTGTCTAGGAAACGTAAAATCTAAGGCAGCTGTCAATCGTCGATTGTTGTTGCAGAAGCAGTTACAGGTAAAAATAAATATTTATTCTTGTCATTGCTTCTATCTACCAATGAATCTGATTTAGGACATTGCTCCAAAAAACGCTCATGGCAAACGTTGGCGGGTCACTTCCTCAAATTGACCCGCCAACATTTGTTATGATAATTACATCAACAGATTGTAACTTTTGATTACAACAGTATAACAGACATTTTGGACATCCTTGATTTATGTCATTCTTTTCGATCGTAGACACAAATCTTTTGCTAGAATTACCTCTACTCTCAAACTTGTCGTCACCCCCCGACCCCCCGAGCAGATTTATACTGCTCACATAACTTACAGCGGTGAAATTGTGCCAGCTTTGAATGGGAAGACACTTAAGCTAATCTCCTATGAGTAACCCAAAACGATAATGTTTTCGAAGTTGGAAGCTCAACTTCAGGTGTAATTGTCCAGGCACCCTTGTAATTAGCAGCACTAAATCACGGTGGATTCTCAGAAATGGTGGGGTGCGAGAAAAAGCATTGCTTCCCAAATCATGGTGGATTCTCAGTATTGTCGTCAGTTTTCATGGCAATAAGGGCGATTCAAGAGTACTAAAGTCTTCGACTTTGTACGTGTCAAGATCGGAAGGTTGTTAAACCGTCTATTTTTTAAGTTGCAGTTCATAGATCATATTCGTAAAATATTAGCCAACTAAAAAATGTTTGAGGCATTTAACTAACTTCAAATAAATTAACGAACACTTTGTTCTACGAAGCATTGAAATTGCATTGTGACAATTAAATTGACAAATAGTTTCGGATCGAACAATTAGGGCCTTTGGACTTGCAATAGTTTCGGATTGCATAAGCTCTGTTGCTTAATTCTCTTTTAATTTCACTATGTTCCATTGTTAAACTTTCCAGTGGACCCAAATGCCCATTTCCATTGAATGTTCTTATTCAATTCTGACAATGCTGCAAGACCAAATTGCAATCAAAGATGCAAACACTCCCATGAGAGGATAATATATGATAGTGACGTTCTGTACCAATGAAATAAAAACACGTTTATATTTTTTTATCCTCATGTTTATGTTTTATTAGACAAGACATCACGTGGCGCTGTACTGTCCCATATAAGTTGTTCTTCCACGAGAAATCTGATACCATTTATTTTAGGGGGATAAATGATGGAGACAAGTATACAAAAAGTTAACAACAAAAACCAAATTTGCTTTCTTCGCAACGTGGAACTTCATTTTCCCGCAAATTCCAAAACCCCCATTAATTTTCTATGCTATTAATTTATTTGAACATCCTTATTTTCCCCAACTATTGTAATCAACTCCATAAAGTTTTAAGAACTCAGTATTATAAATTCATCATGCAGAGAAGAAAGCCGAGGGGAAGCTTCAACGACATTGATGAATCGGCACTAGTAAAGGCAGCTGCATGGGCATGGTTCGAGCACTGTTCGGGTTCCGACGGCAAGTCGATCATGCCGGAATTCGATTTAACAAGGACTTGTCACGCTCCTTATAAACCATCCAGGTACAAGCTAGAAGCTATGAAAAATATATCCAATATTAGCAGTAAAGAAAGTGTTACTGCATCTAGTAACCCGCTTCTTGATACATATGAAATTGAAAGTATATCTCGGAAATTGGATCAACTTATAGAATTTAGTGGGGACAGAGGCAAACTTCATAAGGGTTTTCTAGTTGGAGACGTTCTTGGTATAAAGAACATGAAAGAGGGCGGGAGAGGTTCGGACTCTGACCTCGAATACAGAGATAAACGCTCTTTACCATTGAAACTACACGTCCCTGAAGACGTTCGTCAACAAGAATGTGTGCCGCTCGTGGATGGTAACACGAACGGGAGGAAGAAAAAGAGCAAGAACGTTAGAGGAGGGTTTTGGCATAGGCATGCGGCGATATGTGGCAGAATTGAAGATGTTGTAAACACACAAGCTTTCGTGGTTCATCGTCGGCGGCCGGAAAAGGGTGTATATGTACGTACCGGTGGACCGGTGGTTAAGGCGCGCGGCGAAGTTTCGGCCACGGAGGCCTTGTAATCAGTTGGAACATATTAAGTTTTGATGGGTCTGGTCGTTGGCTGTGTAACTGTCTACGGCTATACCACAACTGTATTCTTCAATGCACGTTATTGTATATATGATCATTTTATTTTACTCTGTTGTCAATAAAATACAAAGACAACGGGCATCCGAAAATTGTAAGGATTTGTCATTAGGATTGGGATTAGATATTGAAGAGCAATGAAGGTAATTGATTTTTCGGCAGACTTTGCATCTGCTAACTTGTATACAGTATAAGCTGTGTTGCTTACGTTGTCGTAGGGCCCGAAGAAATGTCCATAGCTTACATTACGTGAAAATATTGCTAAAGTATTCGATATTCTTGTTCCGGTTCACTACCTACAGGCAGACATTGTCTCTGAGCTTAGTACTATATAAATCAGTCCAATTATTTAACTTTTCAGGAGTTACCTTTAAGGGACAGTGTTCATACTTCATTTTATTCTTAGCTTGGTATATTTAGCGCGATTTTGGGAGGGCCAGAATCACTTTTGTGGAGACACACCTCCTATGTGCTTCTCCATAAAATCATTAAAAGTGATTACCACACTCCCAAACAGGCCCTTAGTAAAACAAGAAAATCTAAGACTCAAGTAATAGGGTAACTACTTATCGAATATACTTGGGTAAGTCCTTGGTGAACTTTATGCGGTTCACCTTTTGAAAATTGTGCTCAATCTGTTTACGTGTTCCATAGAAGACCAGTGTGATATTGTTTCACAATTAACATCTGAGCCTTCAATTTTTGTTTCTCCTTGTCTATTTGTAGTTTGTAGCTGAGAAGTCAATTGCTGAGTTACCTGAAGTAAGGGCAGAGTATCTTAAATGTTTGAAGCATCTTATAAGCTTAAATGGTGGTAGCAGTACCCAAACGTCACAGCACTCTACAAGAGTCAATTTGCAAGATCTGAGAGATGAAATCAAGCGTCTTGAACTTGAACTCTCCCTGTCTAGGAAACGTAAAATCTAAGGCAGCTGTCAATCGTCGATTGTTGTTTCAGAAGCAGTTACAGGTAAAAATAAATATTTATTCTTGTCATTGCTTCTATATGCCAATGAATCTGATTTAGGACATTGCTTCAAAAAAACGCTCATGGCAAAAGTTGGCGGGTCACTTCCCCAAATTGACCCGCCAACATTTGTTATGATAATTACATCAACAGATTGTAACTTTTGATTACAACAGTATAACAGACATTTTGGACATCCTTGATTTATGTCATTCTTTTCGATCGTCGACACAAATCTTTTGCTAGAATTACCTCTACTCTCAAACTTGTCATCGCCCCCGAGCAGATTTATACTGCTCACATAACTTACAGCGGCGAAATTGTGCCAGCTTTGAGTGGGAAGACACTTAAGTTAATCTCCTATGTGCAAGCCAAAACGATAATGTTTTCGAAGTTGGAAGCTCAACTTCAGGTGTTATTGTCCAGGCACCCTTGTAATTAGCAGCACTAAATCACGGTGTATTCTCAGAAATGGTGGGGTGCGAGAAAAAGCATTGCTTCCCAAATCATGGTGGATTCTCAGTATTGTCGTCAGTTTTCATGGCAATAAGGGCGATTCGAGAGTACTAAAGTCCTCGACTTTGTACGTGTCAAGACGGGAAGGTTGTTAAACCGTCTATTTTTTAAGTTGCAGTTCATAGATCATATTCGTAAAATATTAGCCAACTAAAAAATATTTGAGGCATTTAACTAACTTCAAAGAAATTAACACTTTGTTCTATAAAGCATTGAAATTGCATTGTGACAATTAAATTGACAAATAGTTTCGGATTGAACAATTAGGGCCTTTAGACTTGCAATAGTTTCGGATTGCATAAGCTCTGTTGCTTAAGTCTCTTTTAATTTCACTATGTTACATTGTTAAACTTTCCAGTGGACCCAAATGCCCATTTCCATTGAATGTTCTTATTCAATTCTGACAATGCCGCAAGACTAAATTGCAATCAAAGATGCAAACACTACCATGAGAGGATAATATATGATAGTGACGTTCTGTACTGATAAAATAAAAACACGTCTATATTTTTTATCCTCATGTTCATGTTTTATTAGACAAGACATCACGTGGCGGTGTACTGTCCCATATAAGTTGTTCTTCCACAAGAAATCTGATACCATTTATTTTAGGGGGATAAATGATGGAGACAAGTATACAAAAAGTTAACAACAAAAACCAAATTTGCTTTCTTCGCAACGTGGAACTTCATTTTCCCGCAAATTCCAAAACCCCCATTAATTTTCTATGCTATTAATTTATTTGAACATCCTTATTTTCCCCAACTATTGTAATCAACTCCATAAAGTTTTAAGAACTCAGTATTATAAATTCATCATGCAGAGAAGAAAGCCGAGGGGAGGCTTCAACGACATTGATAAATCGGCAGTAGTAAAGGCAGCTGCATGGGCATGGTTCGAGCACGGTTCGGGTTCCGACGGCAAGTCGATCATGCCGGAATTCGATTTAACAAGGACTTGTCACGCTCCTTATAAACCGTCCAGGTACAAGCTAGAAGCTATGAAAAATATAGCCAATATTAGCAGTAAAGAAAGTGTTACTGCATCTAGTAACCCGCTTCTTGATACATATGAAATTGAAAGTATATCTCGGAAATTGGATCAACTTATAGAATTTAGTGGTGACAGAGGCAAACTTCGTAAGGGTTTTCTAGTTGGAGACGTTCTTGGTATAAAGAACATGAAAGAGGGCGGGAGAGGTTCGGACTCTCACCTCGAATACAGAGATAAATGCTCTTTACCACTGAAACTACACGTCCCCGAAGACGTTCGTCAACAAGAATGTGTGCCGCCCGTGGATGGTAACACGAACGGGAGGAAGAAAAAGAACAAGAACGTTAGAGGAGGGTTTTGGCATAGGCATGCGGCGATATGTGGCAGAAGTGAAGATGTTGTAAACACACAAGCTTTCGTGGTTCGTCGTCAGCGGCCGGAAAAGGGTGTATATGTACGTACCGGTGGACCCGTGGTTAAGGCGCGCGGCGAACCTTCGGCCACGGAGGCCTTGTGATCGGTTGGAATATATTAAGTTTTGATGGGTCTGGTCGTTGGCTGTGTCACTGTCTACAGCTATACCACAACTGTGTTCCTTCAATGCACGTTATTATTGTGTATATGATCATTTTATTTTACTCTGTTGTCAATAAAATACAAAGACAACGGGCATCCGAAAATTGTAAGGATTTGTCATAAAAGAAAGAGATTAAGAAGATAACGATTCGAAAGTGTCTATGATCTTTTCAAATTTCTGTTAATCGGTTTTGATGTTTTTGAAATGAGTTCCGATTGATGACCTTTCTGCTCGAATTTGGTCCAAAAAATAAGTGATTAACTAGCTGCAGTTGGAGACCGAATCCGAGCTGAAAGCTCGTCAATCGTAGACTCTCGCAGCTAGGAGAGACTAAGATAGTTAAGCTATAAACTGTTGTCACAAGTTTTTGAGCACGTGTGAAACAATCTACGAAAGATTTTGGGTTATTTACCTCGAGTAAAGTCAAACGTGTGGGTATGAATATCTGGCCCCCTAAATCGAAACTTTTTTTTTATCATCAAAATTGTGTAGATAGAATGACCAATAAAAATGAAATGACTATGATAAATAGTAATTAAGTGGTTAAATGATTTCTAATTTGTTGTGGTGATTCTTGACCTAGAGATAAACTGTTCAGATCTATAAACTTCTAGGGCGAAGAAGAAATTGCGTTCTTTTTAAGTTTTGAGAAAATAAATGAACGTAAGTGTAAAGTTCCATCACCGCTTTAGTTTGTAAGAAGTTTGGGAAAAGTATGTGTATGAAGTTTCTATTTAACGTACAAGAACGAACAAGATTTGACATTTAGGGGTGGCAATTTGTGAGAGTGAATAATGTTTGTGACTTTATCTTTGTGTTTGTGTCAAATAGCTAATCCAAAATTCTAGCGAGACATGTCAAATAATACTAACTAAACATTCTTGAAACATTACTCGATAGATTAATTTCACGATGGAAATAGCATACGAGATTAAACAGAATCGTGTAGGAGGAAAAAAGGACAAGATTAAACAGGATAGTGCAGTTATCATTTCCCTTTTCCAAAATACCCTCACTTGTATTTCCAAGGTCATCTATTGCTACTAGGGCACCTAGTCACATAGTTCTTTTTTTTTTTTTTTTTTTTTTTGTTAAACGATAAATTTTGCTAGATTAGATGTTAAATTAATCAAACTCACGTCTTTATGCAAGGGCTCTACACCTTTCTGCCAAGTTGCATAGTTGAATACTTAATAATACAAGAACAGAATAAAAGATGAGGCTTGCATTTATCAAGAATTACAAGTAAATGTCATTAAAACCAACCAACCCTTTGAAAAATATTGTTCATAAATGACACTTATTCAACACAATGGGCAGAATGATGAGGCATTGGAGCAATTAACCACATCTTGGCATTTTTAATAGGGAAAATAGCAACGCAATACAATTTAAAGGACAATGCTAATTCTAGTTTGTAGCTAAGGACACACAAGGATCTTTTAAACGGACCTGGTAAAACACATTTCCAGCCTTAATGAAAGACGGTGACGATGTCACAAGACTTGGAACTGCACGGGTGTAGGTGTAGGTGTAGCGGTGTGTGTTCATGGCTTCAACAGAATGGTGGTTTCTGCAATCATAGAAGTGACAATATATGGATCCATGTTCGACGCAGGCCTCCTGTCCTCGAAATAGCCCTTGCCAGCTTGTTCTGTGTCTCTACCAACACGGATAGAAGCACCGCGGTTGGCAACACCCCATTTAAATGTGTTGATATCGGCAGTTTCATGCTTTCCTGTCAAACGGCGTTCATTGCCTTCTCCATAGGCAGCAATGTGCTCCTTGTGCCTGAGTCCCAACTTGTCAATTGCCTTCTTGATAATTTCATAGCCTCCATCTTCTCTCATGGACTTGGTGCTGAAACCATAGCACATTACAAACGTCATCAAATAGGAAAACAATGCTAACCGTGACATAGTTTGATCAACAGACATAAATCCTTAACAACTAATAAGTGGCATTATACCTGTAGTTCGTGTGAGCACCAGCCCCGTTCCAATCACCCTGGATTGGCTTGGGATCAAAAGACAGAACCACCCCAGCAATCTCAGTGATCCTCTGTTAGCATTGAAACAAAACTTCATTGACCAACACCGTAGAGTAATACCAGCAATTTATTATACAACAAGTATGCTAAGTTACCTCCAAAATATAACGAGCAGCCCACAGTTCATCTCCAGCTGATATGCCGACAGAAGGGCCAACTTGAAACTCCCACTGCATTATATGATTATATTCAGAAATACTTTTTAACATTTGGGCAGAAGAAGAAAAAGGACATAGAAGAAAGGTCAAGAAAATATATGTTTGATTCTTTTACCTGGCCAGGCATCACTTCACCGTTTATTCCACTAATGTTAATGCCTGCATAGAGACAGGCCTTGTAGTGCGAGTCAACAATGTCTCGCCCGAAGGCCTTGTCTGCGCCAGCAGCACAATAGTATGGGCCCTGTTAAGCAATAAACAAAATAGTCAAGTTATGTTTGTGTAAACAAAGTAGAACTACCATCACATAAGTATATACGTCCGGAGAATCCTTAGAAGTTAACGATGACAAAGTCGAGCAACATGTAAGCATTATGTAAATTCATATGAGCATAAAATATAACAGAATGAATCTAAATCCTTAGAAAATATAGCTCGTTCAATAACCTGAGGGCCTGGATAGCCACCAACGGGCCACCCAAGGGGCCATTTGACATCTTTCTGCAACAAGGTGTACTCCTGTTCAATTCCATACCAGGGTACTTCAGCAACAACATCAGGATGGCTGAAAATCTTTGCAGCAGCAGCCCTCTTGTTGGTTGGAATTGGTTCTCCACCGGGCGTGTAGGTATCGCATATCACCTAAGTCGAACATCATTGAGAAACACCGTTAATTTTGAAGGCAACGCAATAATTAATAGCTCACAGCATGCCATATCTCAACAGAAATGAAAGGGGAAAAAACTAAGATACGAGATCATCGACAACTCACCAAAATGTTGTTGCCTCTCCTGAATGGGTCCTTGAAAATGGCTTGAGGGCTGTTTCATTTCATTAAAACATTAAAACCAATAACCGCGATGAAACAATAAAACATAAAACTGTAAAGAGGAAAATGGTAAGAGAATTATAAAAAGAGCTTACTATAGGATAACTTCACTATCTTCTCCAGGAGCTTGACCTGTGCTGGAACCATCATAATTCCACTTGGGAAGCTTTGAAGGATCACTCACTGGTCCTGGCAGAGTCTTCATTCACACAAAAACAAATATTATTATTATTATTATTTCAACAAATTAATTATTAACAAATCAAGATAACAATTAACCAATCAAAGACTCAGTTTGAGACTGCTTTTCAAATAACCGAAAGAGCAAAATAATTCAAAGCGCTTCAGAGAAAACAGTTTGGGTTCCAAAAGTACTTGAAGTGCCTGGTGCTCAATAGCGTTTTTACTAAAGATTGGTTACAAAGATACTTTCACTATGCTTTCGGTCATTTTAAAAGTACTTCCCAAACGAGTACCAAGATAACAAGATCAAACAGAAGGAGAAAATTAATTACCCTTGCTTTGCTTCTGATATCCATTCCAGATCCACCAATCCTGTTCCAGTAGATCGGAGTTATAACATTGGAATTAGATTTAAAAATATCATTAAAAAGTATTAAGCAAAGTAATCAAAGTAGATAAATCCCAACTAGTAACATGATTAAGTTGTGATTAACAGAAACGAAAATACCAATCATCAAGCAAAGATCCATCACCAAAATAGAAGGACAGTGACACCGACAGAAAAGATATACCTGATCCATGAATCTTAAGACAACAAAATAACGGTTCGGCTCGTTAAAACACAACTAATCCCCATTTTTTTGGAATTACCTTAAGGGATTGTACATGTATATATACACATACATATACATATATATGAATTAACAGTCGGTCAATTTATCCCAAGTAGAAAGCAAGAAATTTAAAACAAAAAGCAAAGTAAAAGAACCCCATCGGATTCCAAAGAATCCATTAATGGAAATGGACAACAGCACAAAATTAAAGAACACACAAAAAAAGGAAAGACAAATACTTTTATAAGCATTTGACTAGCCCCAAGCGGTCGATCACAAGATCAAAACACAAAAGCAAAGCCAACCCATTAACCTATTCACCAAAACAAGAAAACCCATTTGCGTACGCATCAAAATACGTATAAATACGCACAGATACGTATACCATGTTCCAGGTCTGGAAAACCAGAGGATTAGAAGAGGAAGAGGATGAGGGGCTGACCATATGTACTCTGCGATGATCTTCTTAGTAGACTCTGAGAGATCAAGGTTGATGAGATCTGTGAGCAGCGACATAGTTCCGGAGAAACACAGAGACTTGGAAACGAAGACTTTCTCTCTCTCCTCTCTCTCTCCTCTCGGTGAATGATTGTATACAGAGAGACGTAAACGGGAGGGGGTGGGTGTGCTTTTTTTATAGTACAGTCTCCCGGGGCTGTGAACTTATAAAAAATCTTAAATTATTAAAAATAAAATTAAATATCATAAAAACGGGAAAATAATAATTATTTTGCTATTTTGCCGTTTCAGAGGAAATTATGATTCTGATAAGTTGGTAAGTGAGGACTGAGGAGAATCAAATCAGAGGGGCCCACGTTGTTCGAGATATATGGACAAATGTTCACCTGGTAACTCTTCTTTCGGTCTCATTGGAGGTGAAAATGATTTGCCTGATCCTTTTGGAAAACCTAATTTGTTTGTATTTGTAATATAATACCAATTTTTTCTTTTCTTTTTGGCCTCGTGAGAATATAAAGGAGAGAAAAATATTTGTTTTAGAAAAAACGTATTACAAAAAAACCAATTGATTCCTTTCACTCGTTGTGTAATGGACCGTTGTATCATAATAATTGAGAAAAAGTTGAATAAAAAAATTTGAGGCTGTCATAACCGAAAAATGAACTCTAACAGTTGACGTAGATGACAAAATTTAAGGTTAATAAGAAATTCTAAAATGATGAAATATGTTTCTTATAATTTGTGAATTTTCTTCCTTGTTTTTGGTTAATTTAAAGTACAATCAAATCTAAATACATAATTCAATGTGTATCTCGAATAATATATAATAAAAAATGTGTATTTTATCTAGAGTTATTAATATATATAATGAGATATTGAATTAGCAAATGTGCTAGTAGTGGTTGTTGATTCAAATTTTCGCCGTCTTCGGTCTTGATGAAAATGCACCTGCAAAACAATCAACACCTTTGATCAAAGACTAAAGCCTCATGCGATTGGGGGGGGGGGTTAGGTCAACAGATGTTCGATGCCTAAGTTAGTTTCTCTAAGAGAGTAAAGTGTTTAGGGCTTTTTTAGGGTTGCAAAAACTCTGAAAATTTGGTAGAATATGGGGTATTTATAGGGATAGGGCCGACCATAGTGTTTAATGGAGAGATATTCTCTAAATATTCCTAAGATATTAAATAGGAAACAATATCTTGAGATAATGGTATAATTATCCCTTATTTATTTAAATTAGGATTACTTACTTGATTGCAGTTAATCTTCAAATGGGAATGTATTAAATATAGGATTTGGGTAATTAATCCTTATCTTTAATTCCTTACCAAGGGCAGGTGAGCAATGGGTAGTGGGCAGTCGTATTCAGCTACTAGGACCTTCAGGAATGTGAGTTGCGCGTAGGGGCATCTGAGTAAAAGTTCACGTGTCACCTTTACATTTTTTGGGATTATTTTAGGCTCCACGGTGGTGATAGTGTGTGGTGGCAGCCGTATGTCAATGAGAGTGGTTGCAATGGCCATTGGAATGTGGTAGTAGTAGAGTTGATAGTAGTGACATGGTGATGGACGTGGAGGTGATGGTGGAAGAGGAATAATAACAGCAAATTGTTGTGGTCATGGTCAAACGAAGATCATGGTAATGACAACGACAATGGTGATGGCCGGTTCATGACAACATCTACAATGGTGGAGTTGGGATGATGTGCATGGAAATGTGGTTGTTAAAGAAGTAATGGCGATGGTAGTGGCGGCGATGATGGTGGAGCAAATCAATTTTAACACTAAAAACAAGTAAATAAAGTTTCAAAGAATGGTAGTCTCTCAAGTGCAAAAGAAGAAGAACAATGGAAGATAAAGCCAATAATTAGGCAAGAAAGCAAAATTTGTGGTGGTGGCCACTCATATTGAACTATAAAAGAAATGGCACCTCTTTCTCTGTTGATTAGCCGATAGAAAAGCCTAAGAAGTAGCGGTTGTGTCTAAAACTCTAAAAGTGAGAGAATTGCGTATCAGATTATTTTATTCCTTAGTAAAATATGACATGTGAAGAATAAATAAAAAATTATCAACAACTTTGAAGATAACTATATTATTTTCTTAAGTTTGACGAGAGCAATCTACAAGCATCAAGTTTACCGTTATCATGGCTTTTTGATACAATAACGCACTGAAACATAAAAAGAATTTACAGATGATAATGCATTATTAAACCAAAATGTAGATAAAATATTCCATGTAATTTTTTCTCTTTCTCTATTTGAAGAGATTCTCTTGCCATAGAGTAACTTAAATAGCCAAGAACACCATTACTGTATCATTCTGATCCAATCACGTGATATTCCATGTTAAATTTATTTTCCACGAGATTGTATTATTAAAACAAGACGTAACCATAATAATCTACTCCTTCCAACCAATTCCTTCCCTTCCTACCAAATTGCATAAAGAGCCTTTTTGTAAATTGATTTTTGTACGGCAAAGGACGAGAGAGAGCAGCAATGTCACCGACACGTGTCGTTGATATTGTAAGTGGCCCACGACGCAAATTGGGTTCACAGTCAGGGCCTGGGGCCCACGTCCACACTTGAAGCTCCCAATCAGATCCTTGTGCTCTGTGACTTTGTGATTCATGATAAGATTTTCTTAATTAATTCACGCGCCTGCGTGGCTTTTTCTGGAAGAAACTTTCTTTCCGTCCTTTTTTTTTTTCTTTAAATTCTTAATTAAATATGGATAATATTAGAGATATTAAATTTGTAAATAAAATTTACAAATTAAATGACGTGTCACCAATAGAAATGAATATATTTATTAACGTTAAGTAATAAATCAATCATCGACTTCCATATCCTTTAGCTTCCATTTTTAATTTTTTGAACAAAAGATATTATTTATACTAAGGGAGAGAAGGTGAGCTTAGCCACACAATGAGCTAACAATAATATGGTTCATTCACCTGTGGCAAAAATCGAACTTAAGATCTCTCACTTACAAATAAAGATGAATACTACTAGATCATAGTATTAAGTGACTTAGTTAAAAAATTTAGCCTATAAATTTTATTTCTCTAGCATTACCCATTAAATATAGATAAAAGAGTTTCTTTTCTTTGATTCAATATGTATTAGAAAGGGTGCAGGAAGGTTTTGAGTGGTCGTAGAATTGGCAAATGGGTTGTATTTGTTGTGTTTGGGTGTCGTGTCATAGTTATTATCGTAACGGGTCGTGTCGTGTAGGTGATTTGATTCGTTAACATACCCTGTTAGTTCGTGTCGAGTTAACGGATCATGCAATAAATTGTCATACTTAATGTTTAGACCTGACAAACAAGTTTTATCTATGTCGTTTTTGTGTAATACCCGTTATTATCAGGTTCTTAACGGATGACCTAATAACGACCCTGATTCGTTAATCGATTACCTAAAACTTGTTATTTTTGTGTTATTTCTTGACATGCTAACATGTCCTGCAAAAATTTTGACAGACCTGAGTAGCCAATAGCATAGTAAGTTAGATAATCAAGTGGTAAGAGAAAAGAAAATCGATATAAATTAAACGTGCACCAAGGTGAAAACAATTGTAAACAAAAAATATAAAATAAAATAAAATTTGGATGCAAATATCATATGTTATTTATTTATTATACCATATGTTTTTGTAACCTGACTTCATCTTCCTGAGGGAGCCCAAAATACATATAATAAGGCATTATTATTGTCAATGTCTAATTTGTTAATTGATTCTATACTAAGGTAGTAGGTAGCATTCGACACACCTAACACATAAGTGCGCACTCCTCAACTATAAGAAAACTACACAGCTAAAGGTATTTTCCAAAGCGATGGACAGATAGTCTTGGTGATTAGAGCATTTTCAACAACCTCGTTAAAGGAGGTTATGTGTCCATGTTAATGGAAAATTCACAAAATTTCAATTCTAGCAAGCTAGCTATATGACTCGGTACTTCAACATTGTGAACATTCGCTCGCTAGATTTGGCAAGGAGGAGAGAGAAATTTGTAGACTAGCTAAATATAACTATAATCGTGACGCAGTTCTCTGCCTAGATTGTGGGGTGGTAGATATGATAAAACAGAGAAACGGAAAAGTGAATCTAAAAGAGTCTTGGTTAATTAGGGCTTTACTGTTTCAACTCATAAGGTTCAAAATCACATTTCAACACATAAGGTCATAGGTTTAAACTCCCTTCCCTTGCCCCACCGCACTTTCTTTAAATTCTTAATTAAAGATAGAAAAAACAAGTTTATTTTCTTTGATTAAAACATCTTATAGAAAGGGTGAAGGAAAGTTGTGAGTTATCGTAGAACTGGCATACGGATCGCGTTTGTCGTGTTCGTGTTATTTTTGTGTCATACTCATTATCATAACGGGTCGTGTCGTGTCAAATTCATTATCTTAATAGGCTCTTAGCAAATGATCCGATAACGACGTGATCCATTAATGGGCCTTGTCATTTCGTGTCTTATCAGGTTCTTAACGACGCAACTCAATAACAATCTCACTCGTTAATGAATTGACTTGGAACTTGTTATTTGTATATTTCGTGACAGGGCTAACGGTTCGTGCAAGAAATTTGCTAGACCTGAGTAGCCGATAGTGTTAGTAGATTAGATAATCAATTGTTAAAAGAAAAGGACATTGGTATAAAATCGAACTTCCACAAAATAAAAAAATTGAAAATAAAATAAAATAAAAAACACAAAAAAGAAATAATTTATAAACCATGTGCATCTAAATTTTATTTATGTATTTTATTTATACTATGTGTTTTTGTATCTGACTTTCTCTGGATGAGAAAGTCCAAAATACATATAATAAACTTGTTAAAAAAAATACATATAATAATGTATCATTATTGTCAATGTCTAATTTGTTAATTGATTCTATGCTAAGGTAGTAAGTAGTATTCACTGTATTCTACACACCTAACACATACGTGCGCACTGTTGGATAATAGTTTCGTCCATCGGATTAGAGCATCTCCAACAACCTTGTTAAAGGAGGTTATGTGGCCATATTAACGGGAAATTCACTTAATTTCAATTCTATAAAGCTAGCTATATGGCTCAGTACATAACATAGTAAACATTTGCTCGCTAGATTTAGCAGGGAGAGAGAAATTTG